ACGTGGGCTTTGGAGGATCCCCCATTTTTGGCTCTCCGCCAACTCGCAGCGTCCAGCCAGCTCTGAGAGTGCCTTTGGGTTTCCAGGTCGTCGGATCGGGTAGGACGCATTAAAGACTTTATTTCCCTATTTTCTCCCTGAGTTGTACGTTTTCCTTATTTCCTTTTCTCTTGTAAATAAACCTTTTATTAACCTTTTTGTGTGTGTCTGTAGTGGAGTATTCATAAATCCCTTTAAAGCGCGCGGGTGAGGACCCACAGCCAGGAACCCGTTTAATATCGGGGCTGCTCTATAACAGTATTTCAGTTCCCTTCTATCTATGATCATATTGAGACACAAGGCAAGCTAGAAATTAGGCAGTTTTAGGGACACTGCAGGAGGGGACCTCGGAGAATTGAGGAAGGCTTCAGAGATAAGGGCAGCAAGAGGAGTGTAACCAATTCCACTAGGAAAAACAAACATCCCAGAACCAAGGACAACATTGTTAACGCTGGTCCTGGTTTCCTTCAGGTGGTAAAGGGAGGCAGAGATTGGAGAAATAGAGAATGGTTTAATTTATGGACAACTTAGAAGGGCAGCTGTTTAACTTCAATGCAGGGATGCTCATCCAGAGGACTGGGCCATAAAGATGCAACAAATGGGGAAAGAGAAAGCTGCTAGATAAGGAATGTGAAGATCCCCCACTCAGTAGCAAATTAAGTGAGACAGCGGAGAAATAACCAATCACAGAGAGACTGGTGGAGCTTCAGAATAGTGAGGGAAAGAAGGTCTATATTCCCTGAGACACAACTCCACTTTGGCTTCCTTGCCCCTCTCAGGCCTGGTTCCCTGGCCTGGGAGTCCCACTTTATTTCTGTTCTTTTTCTCCTCAATAAACTTTTTCTTTCTCTAAACAAACCTGCCTCTTCTCCCTTGCTTGCCTGAGCGTCTGCGAAGTTCCTGCTGTGGCTTCGTGAGACACCAACCTGTGGGGGTCTAGTGGCTGGGACTCAGCGCTGCCCTGCAGCCTGGGATCCGCTCCTGGCTGGGAGACTAGGCCTGACAATTCCGGTATCAATATTTATTAAGAACTGCTGTTACTCAGCACTCAGTTCCATGATGTAAAGGAAGGGGAAAGAGAGAAATAAGGTCATTCTATGGGATGTCTTTGCTTCTCCTTGGAGACTACTGACTATGTAGCACCCCCTTGTTGTTGTTGTTTCTAAAGGAAATATGGCCACTGAGTGCACAGGTATGCCCCTCCTCCTTCCAGGTGACTGAGTTCTAGGACATTTGGATTAAGGACATTTGGAAAACTGGATAAAACCTGATAAGGAAGTATGAGAGTAACTTCATTCTTACCACTTAATATTGTTCTCTCTCTATTTTTTCTCTTCCAGAAATACAGAGGGTCACTGATTTATCTAAGTTACTGGCATATCATTGTTTTTTTCCTGAATATTTTTTCTGCTCCATTGAGTAAAATATTTGAAGCCAGGACAGCTAAAGATCAAATTTACTCATTTGTTTGCTTATTTTAGATGCTGGCTTATGTAAAAGGGTGTGACTGATGAAAATCTCTGGGCTCTCCAGGGGAAAACAAAACTTCATAGATTGGAAAAGCAGTCAAACAGCCCATAAACAAAGAACTCCTTCTGGGTTCAAATACAAAGATACTCTTATTCTTGGAGAGCTAACTTTTTCTGTTGCCCTTCAAGATCAAGGTCAAATGCAGTAAAGGGAGCAAGATTTACATACCAAACTTAACAGGTCTTTCCCCTGTGGGGGAGCAGGGGTAGTAGAGGGAAGATGAATAGGAGGCTTTAAAGGGAATTACTTACCTGGGGTCAGCCTTGGGGCCCTCCTTGGAATCCCTCAACCCCTGCTTTTCTTGCCACTGCCCCACTATGAAGAAGGTATCTCTGATGGTAGGGAAATCCTCCAGCAGGGCTCTCAGACTATGGCAATATGCCATGATCTGACCCCGGAGAGCGTAGTGAGACATGCGGCGGTTAAACCTGAAAAGTCAGGAGAGATGATGTCCAGAGGTGAATCCGTGTTGTTTTATCTCTCACAAAATTTCCAGAATCTACTTACCTGGAAGACTGTTCAAAGAGAATAGCGGACCTCCGTCAAGAAGAAATTTCCATCTGGGTCAGGTTACTATTGCCTGAAAGTAGAGGGCTGGACCTCTTTAAAGCACCCTCTTAAGTATGGCTTAATTTGGTTTTATCCAACAGAAAACTGTGACTTATTTAAACAGAAAGCCCTGACCCACTGTCTGGATTTCTACATAATACTGCTGGTTACAGAATTCAGGGTCAGAGAAATCAGCATGTGTTGTTCACATATCTATACTTACTTCTGACAATATTCAATGATAACGTCCCGCTTGACTTTTCCAATTTCATCCTGTGATAAAAGAGAATGACACTTCTCTTAGCTAGCTGGTGATAGAAGATTCCCATCCTAGCTCATGGGAAAAAACTTAGCGCATACTTCAAGCAGGAAAAGGCCCTGTGGTTGATAGTTTTTCTTAACTTCAACATGTTGGGAGATACTCCTCCATGAGTCTCTTCCACTCCTACACATCTTGCTGAGTATGGCAAGAATCTAAGACACTGTTGCTCTGGACCATTTCTCTAGGTTATGTTTGCAGAGACAAATCCTGAGGGAAGAAGTAGTGTCTTCCTCCAGGAAAAGCAGGCTTGCGATAAAAGAGGTGGATTCCCCAAGTTCCAAGTTACTCAGTGGTGACACAAACCCTCTGCGTGCATCTAAGCAACTTAGTGTTACCCCCTTGGGCATAGGGAACAGATACAAACATGAAGCTCGTGATGCTTCCTCTGCTGTGAGTAATAAGTTCTTTTATCTCTGAACTAGGAATCTTGCATATTCTGCCAGCATCCACAGTACAGTGACAGCCTAACTTATGAGTTTGTATGTGGGCTAAATGCCAGATCTAGACAAATTGACATTATACTGTATGACTCCTTCCTAAACTGAAAGGTAGGGGATAATCCTGAAGGCAGGTAATGAGCTATTGCGCTTTTGACTCAGTCAGTATTTTTTGAGAATTACTTACTAACAGGATCTTTTACTTCCATCATTTCCCAGCAGTAATCTAGAAGGCCTGGCTTCACTCATATTACATTTGTAGAAGTAGGTTATATTTAAATCCCCTTTACAATCATAGGTAGGGACAAAGCCTAGAGGTTGTAAACCTTGTCATTGCTCTCCCACTAGCCTAATGGTTTCCTCATCAACAAAAATTAGTAACTAATGAGACAATATTCACAAAATTAAGCAATAGTTTCAACTGATTAAAGGATGGAGGTTTATATTTTTCAATAGAGTAACTACAATAAATCCCTTGAATGGAAACACGAGGGTCATATCTGAAAAACCAACGTAACAGTTGAATTAGAAGGGAAGGGGCTTTGTTCACCTCCTCCAAGCCTGCGACTCACTCAGGAGGGCCTCACGTTCCAGAGCAGGTGCTGAAAGTAGTTCAGTTTAGACAGTGACCGAACAAAATGTGGTCTTGGAGAAAAGCATATAGTTTTAATACAATTGCCTTGAATTGCTTCCTTTCTAGTTCCTACTGAGCTCCCTTTTCAGTTCTTTGTATTTCCAATGGTTCTATCAAATTTGCTGAAAGCAACAGAGTCCAAGTAAAGACTTTTTATTTGCTCCAATGTAAAAGACTACAAGTGCCTCAGGAGCCCTGTCTTACCACACTCACTAGGCTCTTCGTTCTGTCAGCCATGGATTGTTTCTTGAGCAGGAAGGCATTCAGCATCATGTCCCGCAGCCCCACCTTTTCCAGTTGTATAGACACAAAGGCCTCCGGAGCCCTGACAAGTGGACAGAAACATCTGAGCCCAAGGCAGGAAACAAGAGGACATATAACAAGGAGACAATTCGAAGGTTCTCAGAAGGACAGAAACACCTGAGACCACAACTGGGCTTTGCAGGAGAGCTGGTGCTTCTTTCCCCATGGTTCCCACAGGCTTCAAGTGTTTCTTATTAGTCCCTAGGTTGCTGATGGGTCACCATCCTCTTTGGGATTCTCCACGTGCCCGCAGCCTGCATCAGCAGTGCCTCCTCTGTCCCAACTTTCATAGCCTGGCCCAGCTACCCCACAGGTCCCTTTGCCCGACCTGAGCTGCAGGGGTACCCAGACTAAGGTGCCTCCTAAGGGTCCTCTCCATTAGACACATACATGGTCTAAAACATCCATCCACATGTTGGGAATATGGACTTAGGGCACTTGAACTCTGGCTTGTGTCAGATTAACGACATGTTGAGTAGTGGAATAATTTTGCCTGTTATTTTTTTCATTCTACATTTGCCAGAATTAAATTAAACTATCATTGTATGCCCTGATAAAGTACTCAGAATATCATAATTACTCCAGAATACAAATACTTTTCTTGGTCATGGTAAAATCAGATCAGCTATAACAGGGAATCCCTGACCCATAGACACGTCCCCGCAGAGGCCCTGCCCCTCTGACAACACAGCATCCTGTTGTTCTCAGCAATGATAACACTCATATGAGAATCGAGAGGGGGGTTCTGTGCTTTCAGTTTAAGACAGACATGGAAAATTTGCAGGCCCATATTCTTCATACTCTTCTTACTTGTGTTCCACCCTCTTTGGAATTTGAAAAATAAATAGAACGAGAAAAAGAAAAAGAGATCGAGAAAGAAGGAGAGGAGAGAAGAGGAAAGAGGTTGAAATTCCTAACAGTTGACTTTCCTGTGTGGACTGGCATGTACTGGGAGGAGCTGGACCTTCTCAGTGTTCCTACAAGCTCATCACAGAAGGTTTCAAACACGAAACACATTCTGGTCACTGGGAGCTTAGGCATCCTTCAATCCCACAGTGCCGTGTTATGAACTCATTTGAAAGAGGACATTTTGTCATTTTAAACAATCCCTGGGTGCGGTACCTTTTGGTAGCCTGAAATATCTCTGAAGGATGAGTAAAAGTGTCTGACGCTTTTGCAGCTGGGGCTAACGGCAGTCTCTCCATACCATTCACAGTTCTGGAATTTCTTCTTTGGGGTGGATCCATTCCACTGTGATTTCTCCAATCTAAATGTATTTCCTAAAATATTTCAAACCAAAGTGAAACAAATGTGTTGGATGTATAAGTCTTGTGGTACTGAATGTAAATTTATCTCACAACCACAACTGACCCAAGCACATGTAAAGGCCTGAGTCCATTTGGGGGGCCGGGAGAAAGGTGGTTGAAGGGGGAAGAGGTGGGGGATAAAAGAGAGAGAAGGTAAGAGGAGGGAAGGAGGGAAAGGTGGAGAGTTAGAGAGGGGAGGGAAGAAAGATACCACTTGGAGCAATGAAGGGGTGAGGCACAAATTGTGACTATTTCCAGAACATAGTGCAGTTGTCTGAAGGGCTCCATGTTCTGCAAAGTGGCTAGAGCGGCATCTCCAGAAACACTGCTCATAGATTTCATGGCTGCAAGATCTAAAAAAATTTGTCTCAGATGCCCACTGTGGAATAGTTCTGTGGAGAGAGGCAGGCTTTATGTGCTACCCTACACAGTGTGATGATGAAGGCGTGAGAGGTGGAAGGTGGGCAGGGAGAAGGGAAGGGGGTGAGAAAGAAAGAAGAAATCGCTATCTTCCAATATTCCTGTTGGCTATGGAGCTACAGGGCATGATGGGTGGAATTCTTTTCTGAAATACTAACTATAAGAAAAAGACCATTTTTATCCTAAGAAAGAAATAAGGAGTTTTCTATAGCTATATTACTGAAGGATATATAAGTAGGGACAAAAGAAAAAAATACAGGGTGAAAAGTCTAAAGATTCCATCCTGATCTTTTCTGGAGATCCTGGGCTACCCCAGACTTCCAGAAACAACACACACACTCTTGTAGGAGCTGGGGGAGGCCTCAGAAAGCTGTGATCAGGGATGCCAGAGCTGACACTTAGCTGGTGGCCTCAGCCCTGTTCCTTAGTCTTTCAGAAACTGCTTCCTCACCGAAGAAAAGGGGTTGATGTTCCCCATCTCACAGAGCTGCTGAGAGGATTCCATGAGCCCATGTATGATTTAGTTCATCACCCACTGGGTCACAGAAACTGCTGAATTAAACTCTTAACTCGCTGGCTCTCTCATCTATTCAAAATACCAGCCCTCCAGCCTTCATTTCTATCCTTAATTCTTTCTTCTTGTGCAGGCCCTTCCTACAAATGTTTTCATGATCCATTTTTATTCTTTAATCCTCTTACACTCTCAAGCTTCCTCCTTCATCCTGACCAAACTTCTTAAGGAGCTATTGTGGACTCAAAGTTTGTGTCCCAAATTCATAAACTGAGGTTCTAACCACTAACGTGAAGGAATTTGAAGACAGGATCTTGGGGAGATAATTGGTTAAATAAGGTCATATGACTATACCTAATCTGAGAGGGCTGGTCCCCTCACAAGAAAAAGAAGAGATACCAGAGCTTTCTCTCTCTGCTATGTGGGAACAGGCCATCTGCAAGCAAGAGCTCTCCCTAGAAACTGCCATGCTGGCACTTAGAATTCTCACCTCGAAAACTATGAGAAAATAAATTCTGTTTCTTAAGCCATCACATCTATGACATTTTGGTAGGACGGCTGGAGCAGACTAACACAGGAGCAGGAAATAGACACTGCTTTTGGACTTCTATCATGCTTTCACTCCTTGACTCTGACAGTCTGCGTTTCACTTCAGTCTCAATAGAACTGCTCTCTGGAGTCAGCAGTGAACTTTTGAGAATGTCCAATGACCTCAATTGATATTCTGGTTCTTCCTTTACTTTATCAAATTTCAGTGTCTTGTCTTTTCTTCTTCTTTAAAAAAATAATAGCTTTATTGAGGCATAAACAATTGTCAATAAAAGGCAAATATTTAAAGTGTACAATTAGATACATGGTGACATATGTATACAAATGTGGCATTATCATTGTAATAATGACCGCAGCCATCTTCCTCAAACAACTTGCTCTGCTTTCTGAAACTATAGATTAGAAAGTATTCCTAGAATTTTATATAAATCAGGTACGTACTATGTACTCTTCTGGTCTGACTTCCACCACTTTGTTGTGAGATTTCAATAGTTCATTTCTTTGTACTGCTGCATAGTATTTCACTGTATGAAAAGTATTGCAATTTGCTTATCCCCATTCACCTGGTGATGGACATTGAACTTTTTCCAATTCTTGGCTGTAAACATGTGTGTGTAAGTTTTTACATGAACATGTGCTTTCAATTCTCCTGGGCAAATTATATGCGTGGAGTGACTGGATCACATGGTAAGTTTAACTGTTTAAGAAAACCCCAAACTGTTCTCCACAGTGACTGTACCATGTGCACTCTCGTCAACAGTGTCAGCATATCCTTGCCAACACTTGGGATGGTCAGCCTTTTAAATTTTAATTATTTTAATCGGTGTTCAGTGGTTTCTCACTGGGTTTTAATTTGTATTTCTCTAATGACTAATGGAGTTAACAACATTTTATTTACTTACTTGCCATTCATGCATCTTCTTTGGTTACTCATCTTTTCTCAAAATACTGCCCTCCTTAGGCTTTGGTAGCAGTGCACAATTTTGTTCCTCTCTGCCTTTGTCCCTTTCCTTCCTTCTCCCCTTCCCTCTCCTTCCTCTTGCTCCCTTTCATTGTTGCCATCATTTATTCATCCTTATCATCTCATCAGTTCTCTTCTTTTTGCTCCATACACACATTACCTTAATGCCTCTGTACCCCTCCCTGTGCTGAAGGTCTTTTAAGCTATTACTCTAATGCCTTCCCACACCCACCCTGTGCTCCTACCAGTGACTTTCAACATTTGCTGTGGGGGTAGGTCTCAGGGGGTGATTCATGAGCCGCACAACTAGAATAGCCACCCTTATATCTGTTGGTATTTACACGTTGGTATTCTTCATAAGATCAATTGAATAAGGGCCTCCCTGGTGGCACAAGGGGTTGAGTCTCAACACTGTAAGATATCAGCAGCCACTGCAGCATGGGTTTGATCCCTGGCCAGGGAGCTAACCCACATGGTGCAGCAGACCTCTCCTGCCTCTCCAGCTGCTCCCCTCAGCAGTGTGTTTCAGTCAATCTGCTTGTTCTGCTCCCCACTCTGTCTCTGGTGAATCTTCTCATCCCCCTATACCTCTGGCCTACACCCCAGTTCTTATACGAATAAATAAATAAAAATAAATCTTAAAAAAAGATCAATTAAATAAGACTCTATATGTTCAGTGGCATGAAAACCACAGTGATTGTCAAACTGGGCTCCTTATTTTCTCCTAGTTTCCATCTGTCCTTTCTCATCCATGCCTGAGTATGGGGCTCTCTATATGCAGAATGATCACATGGTCATCTCGATCTGTTAAAAAGCACATTGTTTAGGTATTCCCAAATGCCCCCTCTTTGTGTTGGTCTCTCTGATGTCCCAGATGAGACCTTTCTTTTCTTTATGTTCCTCTTAAAACTTGTTGCACCTCCTTTATACCTCGCATTTGAACCACTTGTGGGCCTGTCCCCCTTGTACACATGGGTCTATAAGCACCTCAGGATGATGAATTGCACCTCGTGAGCCTAATATTTAGCAGATATTGCATTAAGATTTTTGTGGTTGAATTTTTAAAATATCAACATAACTCACTCTATCCCTATTTTCTACTTCAGTATTTGATTTCTGTGGGAATTTAGTATTTGGCAGTAGAAATGAGAATTAGTATTTTTGCCATACTCATAAATTTGCATTCTCCTAGCAATGGAAAGAGTAGAAGTTGATAGCAGTAGATAAATATGAAAAAGTGTGAATGTAATGAGCTGCATAAACTCCATGAGGCTTAAAGATGTTGAAGACCATCTGGAAAGTTAATTTCCTAAAACCATATTTTGTTTGATACTTAAGTTACATTCACCAGTGATCAAAACATATGTCCTTACAAAAACTGTACACAAATTTCCTAATAGCATTATTCCTAATAGGCCCCAAGTAAAAATAACCCAGTATCTGTCAACTGATGAATAGGTAAACAAAATGTGTTCTATCTATATTATGGGATATTACTCATCAATAAAAAGAAACGAAGACTTGACACATACTACAACATGAATGAAACTTGAGGACATTATGCTAAGTGGAAAAATCTAGTCACAACAAGTTGGATGATTTCATTTACATGACATGTCAGAAAAAGCAAATCTGTAGCGATAGAAACTGGATTAGTTGTTGCTAGAGGCTGAGAGACAGGGGGGATGGGAGTTACTGCTAATGTAACAGGATTTCTTTTGGGAAAGATAAAAATATCCTAGAAATAGATAGTGATGATGGTTGCATGGTTTTGTGAATTATATGCTTTCTGGTATGTAACTTATGTCTCAAAAACAAAAAAAAAACATAATGTATTACTTGTGGAAAAATAAGGCACAAATGTATCTGCTTCTGCAAAAAAATAAACACAAGAAGGACAAAACCAAAAGCAAAAAAAATCACTGATCTACAAAGGTAAGGTTGGGAGCAGGACATTTTTTGCTAGATGATTCTGGATAGTCAATAATAATAGTTACATACAAAAGAAAAGTTATTTGCAAACTGCCAAAAATTAAGGTACCACTAGTAAGGATTGGGTCATATATTGACACACATTAGCAAAAAAGGAAGGCAGACCATGAGGGAAGGAAAATAAAAAGAAAGGAAATAAGAAAAAGGGGGAGAAACAGAAGGAGGAGGAAGGAAGAGAGAGGAAGGGAAGTGATAGGAATAGAGGGAAAATTGAAGAGGGAATTTCCCTGGAGAGGGAAAATTCGTAGAAGGGAAGCAAGAGATTGATGAGTCTCAGGCTTCTTTGTCATAGATCAATGCTACCATAGACTGACCTTGACATCAGCAGGACAGCCTCCTTGGGAAGCGTGATAGAAGGCTGCCTGCTGGACAGCCACCATCAAGGCATTTTTCTGAACAGCTTGGCATGCGAGGGTCACTTGCATATTTTCTACTCCTGAATGGAATAAGAGCTAAAGGAAGAAAATATGAAAGGTATTAAGAATTTATCTCATAAAAAAAGAGGTGAAGTTGAGGGCTGAGATTACCACCATTCAATATGCAAATATAGGGGTCTCGCTGCAGGATATGCTGACATCTGTGCTCCTCAGCCACAGACTGACTCTGTCCACTCCCTAAGCACCATTTCACCCTATGCAGGCAGTCTCCAAGCTGATTTGCCATGCAGATTTCCATCAGGCTTCCATCAGATTTCCCCAGTGGTCAGAAAATGTTGAGTAGGTGTTGATAAAACTAGCAAACTTGTGCTCAGCGGCAGGCTCTTGTAAAACTGCCACGATTAGATTAATGTTTAAAAACACACACAGGAAAAAAAAAATGCACACCTGCATGCACAGAAGCAAGAAATTCTTCTGAATGGCAGGGAAAAATAGCATCAGGTTTTAAAAGATCATATAAAAGTTCCAATAACAAGTATGTATTTTAAAGCCTCGATGCAAAAATGGTTCAGTACCTGTGCTTCTTTTTAATACCTACTAGAGATTATTACAGGTGGTGCTGCAGTTTCTGTAGTTCAAACTAGGCCAATGTGCACACCCAACAAAGGAATGCCAGCATCATCATGAAGCTGGGAGCTTTTCTTATATATGGAAGCCATGCTAATAAGAAATACATGATTTTTTTTAAAGGAATACATGAGTAAATTGCTTAATTGTCATTTCTTTTTTAAAAAAAGTAATTAAAATGATTTACCTTAAGAATGGCTTCCTTCATATAAAAACTAAATTTGCCCACTTGGTTATCATCCAACTCGGAAATGGCCAAGAGCAAGGTAGCAGGGGAATATCTACAAGAAGACACAGGAAGTTGTTTCTTTGTGCCTTGACATGGGTCAAGTGATGCCCTTTCTGATGGGACAGAATGACAAGGATTCAGCTTGGATGAGTTCTGACATATCAGTGGTAATAGCAAGTGTACATTTTATACAGGACTTTATATTTTTACCCAAATACCAAAATGCTCTGAGATATTTTCAGTCCTTATTGGTGTGATTGCACTCATCCTGGATTGTCTGAAGCTCTTTTTCTCTTGATCACCATACCTCCTGCAACTCCTTCATCTCTCTTGCCCAGGCTCTTTGCTGATTCAACCCCTTTTGTCCAATCCCTAAAGGTTGTTCAGTTTCACTCTTTTCTGGTCCCTGCAATCATCTAAATGTTCTTTGCAGTCACATTTCTGCTTTGAGAAACAGTCCTTTGTCCATAACTATGAGACTCCATCAAGTAATTTAATATCTATGAATCTTGATTTCTTTTTCTGTAAATGGAGGTATTACCTCCTTACATGATAACGGGATAATATGCATGATTGTGCTTTCTAAGAGATGTCTCTCTACTCATACTTGGTATATGTTGCTGTTGGAACAGCCCTCCAAAGATGCAACTCTAGGTATTAACATTCATAAAATAAATGCGAACTGAAGACACAAGTTCCTTGGATATATAAACCTTCCCCTTCAGAAGGTCCCCAGATCTTGTAGGGTCTCTGGGTCATCACATGGAGGACCAATTGCCACTTGACCAGGCCACAGAACAATTGGGCAATTTGTGCTGACTGGTTGATTCAGGCTGAACAAAAACATATCCTACTTTCACAACACTGTGAAATACCATCTCAGGCAGGAGGTCCTCGAAGAGCCAGTGAACAGCTTGGCTCCAGGTGGGAGACTTAGGCTCGCCTGAGGCCCAGTTATACCTCCTACTTTCAGCTTCTGTGAGGTATTTCTGTATCCTTACATAAATTGTCTTTTGGTTTAACTAGTATGACAGGTTATAGAAGGTGATATTTTACCTTCAGGGGACAGTTGGCAATATCAGAAGGCATTTTGGGGGCCTCCCAGGTGGCGCAGCTGGTTGAACACAGCACTGTGAAGCTGTCTGCAGCCTTTTCAGCGCAGGTTTGATTCCTGGCCGGCCAGGGAGATTCCCACATGGTGAGGCAGACCTCTCCTGTCTCGCCCGCTGCTCCCCTCAGCAGGGTATTTCAGTCTGTCTGCTTGTACTGCTCCCTGCTCTGTCTCTGGTGAATCCTCTCACCCTCCCGCACCTCTGGCCTGTACCCCAGCTCTCATATTAAAAATAAATAAATCTTTTTTAAAAAGGCATTTTTGATTGTCATAAATAGGGGAAAGGTATTTGGCATTTGGTAGCTAGAGATCAGGGGTGCTGCTGAACCACTTCTGATGCACAGGACAGGGCCCTCCAAGAAATATTATTGGAGTTATATAACTCCAAATTTCAATGGTGTTATGGCTGAGAAAGCCTGGGAGACTGTATTCTATCATCCTAGCCCCCTTTATTTCAACCCAGGCTTTCTCTAGGGAGAGAAGACCTTTAGCTTATTAATACCTCAAAATTATACTTTGAGCAACCCACACTGGGAAAAGAAAGGTGATTATCCTCCTGGGAGTGATCATTATTTTCCGTGGGGTGGAGCCAGTACCAGGACTCTCCAGGAATAGAACTAAGACCAATCCACAGAGGGAGGGCAGATTGGCAGAGAAGGTAGATGCCAAAGGCTGACTCTGTGGTGGGGAAAACAAGATTCCTTTCCCCAATTGAGTAATTCATGATTTGTTACTAGTGAGAGAATTTCTTTCAGGCAATGGATTGAATCTAGGGGGCATGACAAAGAGGTTTCACTGGTTTGCATTGGCTTCTGAAACTGGCCAAGAAAAGGACCTGGTAGAGATCTTGCCACAAATGCTAGATTTGTACACCCCTTTGTGCCCCAGAACAACATGATCAACCCAGGCAACCCCTGAGCCTGGTCACCCCACCTCATTTGAACTCTGATCTGATTCTTCCATTACTGTTACATGGTGCTTTTATATTTAACTATCCCCCTTGATTGAGATTTTAATCACCTCTTATTAAAAAAAAAACTGAAAGAAAGAAAAAAGAGAGACTGAAGCCATGGCAGATAGAATATAAGGGAAAGAATTTTAAAATACGTGTCCAGTGGTGATAAATAATTATTTCTCACTTTCACTGGTCATTAAATCTATGGTCATCTTATTTTTACGTTGACCCTCTCAAGGCTCACCTGTCTACACGATCACTGTCCTCCAGCAGAGAGGTTATAAAGGCAGGCGGTGAACAGTCCACCTTATCCTTGTATGATGCAAATTCAAAGTGAATAGCCCTCAGATACAAATGGAATTCTTCAAAACCCATTTCCAATGCCAACTCCTTATAGAGGCTAAAAGGGGAAAAAAAAAAGAGTCAAGAACATTTGCTATTATTTCCACCTAAAAGGGAAGTAGGTGGCAAGAAAACCAAAAACATAAGAATAAACACCAAAGCAAAAATCAAAACAGAAGTGAGGCCAGTCCAGTCTGAAGTGAATGAGTCACCAAGGCCGTAAGCCCGCTCTATGCAATGGTGGTTAAAGAGTTCAAGTAGGAGGAGATGTGCTTGAACACTGTTTAACTCTCATTTCCTGCAAGCTGACTCTGTCCTGAGAGCCCCCTCCAGAGCACCATACTGCCCTCAAGCTCCCCATCCTCTCTCAGAGTGCTGCAAAGTGAATTTTTGTCTCCGCCTTGAGGAACATCTTTGTTCTCCTGGATCTCCATGCTCCTGCCTCATGGCCCCTCTCTCTCTATTTTCATTGGCTTTTCCTCCTCTTTATTTTCAAATCCTGGTTCAAATCTTTGTCTAGGGTTCCAAACCTGGTCCTCTTCTCATCTTCTCCATCCCTTTTTCAAGGAGCCTTTTGCTGACCCCGAGTGCTTATGATTGTTCCCTTTTATGAGAACCTGTGACCTCCATCTCTGTCCTGCCTCCACTCTGAGCTCTACTCCCATGTTTCTATGGCAGGCAGCTGGGCTCATTTAGATGTCCTGCAGGCATGTCAGCCTCAGGTGGCCAGGATGCCTTCCTCTCCTCCCTTACCCCCATCCCAACTCAATTCTCCATCTTGAGAAGTTAGTACAGTAAGACTGAATTTAAATAGCATCTATATTAGTTTGCTAGGCTGCTGTAACAAAGTGCCAACAAAGTGCCAGGTGGCTTAAAGAACAGAAATCTGTCTCACGGTTCTGGAGAATGCAAGTCTGAGGTGAAAGTGCAGGCAGGGTGAGTTCCTTCTGAGGTCTGTGTGGCAAGGATCTATTCCTTCTCCTTGGCTTATAGATGACCAACTTCTCCTTGTGTCCTCACTCTGTCCTCCCTCTATGTGTGTCTGTGTACAAATTTTCTCCTCTTATGTATACCAGTCATACTGGATTAGGGTTCACCCTAGTAACTTCATTTTAACTTAATTACCTCTGCAAAGACCCTGTATTCAAATTCACAGTCTAGGGACTGAGGCTTAGGATGTGAAGGGACACCATCCCATAACATAACACATTCCTTCTTCTACGAAGATCTCTCTTATCCACTTGGAAGGAATACAATACTCCATTTTTTGTGTTCTCAGAGTATTTTATCCATATAACTAAAATATATTAAACTGTATTAGTGGGAACGTTTACATTGCGAGTTCCCTGAGAGCACGGATCAGAAATTATGGGGCTGCGGTATCACAGAAGTTAACACTATTGTCACTCATAACTTGATTCCTGCTTCTACTGCTCTGCAGTTATGTGATCTTATGCAATAACTTTTCTGAGCCTCTGTTGCCTTGCTGGTAAAATGTTTGTAAGCTACCTCAAAAGGATAGTTTGAAAATGAAATGAACTAACACACATAAAGTCATGAGTACTCAGCCAGGCCACAACGGGCCCTGGTAATAGTGGCTAGTGGATGGCAGGAATCTTTGTGTTGTATGGCCTCACATGGGCATGAGAACACAACAGCACTCATACACATTTGCAGCAAGCCCTCCAGGTCCAGACTTTTCCCGCTTGTATAATATGCCTACTTGGATGTGCTACTGTCATCTCCTACTCATTCCCAAAATACGTTAATCTCACTGTCGCCCCTACCTGCTGAAACTTCCACACTCCACACAGAAGTGTCGCTCACTCATTTCTCTCCTTTCTCTAGGCTGTCTACTGCTTCTACTCTGCTGTTTAAGACCATTATATTCAAGACTAAATCAAATCAATATCCTGTGAGTGCCTCGCATTTTGTCAGGCCTCATACCAGGTGATGGCTTAACATGGTCTTGTCATCTGAGCTCATGTGACAAGAAAACAAAAAAACCAATATTAAGCAGCCAATTAAAAGGGAATGCGCTGAGTGGACAGGAAGCTCAGGTGCTGGGAGGAGGATGTAGTCCAGCTGAGTGTCCAGAGAAGCATGTGGGAGGCTGGGAGAGGAGAGGGGAGCAAGGTGACCATTTTAGCCATTTAGGAAGCTCTCTCGCTGCGCTGAGGGCACAGAGGTGGCAAGGCTTCTGGGCAGGAGACCCACAGTCTGTTATCTCCCCCCAGATCCTCAGTCCTACCACAGACCGTGCTAAGTAGACACTCTCCAGACTCATTTCTATCAGCCGGTGGCGGAGGGTCAAGAGTTCCAGGAGCTTGGAAAATGTCTCCAGGAGCAGTGCGTGGGAATCCTGGCCCTGGCTCTGCCCTCCGACCGCTGCAGACTTGAGTGCAAGCAGGCCTATCTCCTGCACGAGGAAAGGATCACTCATCACTTTAGCTGAAAACAGCTGAAAGAAAGCAAAGTACTTTTTACAAAACCAAAACCAAAAATAAATTCACATATTATGAACAAAGTAGCATCAGTGGCATAGACTCTGGATCTAGACTTCCTGGGCTCAAGTTCTAGCTCTGCCACTTACAAGCTGTGAGATTTGGTGCAACTGACTCAATTTCACTGATACTTGGTTTCCTCATTTGTAAAGTGGGGTTCAGGATAATAACAGTACCTAACAGAAATTAATGAATAATGACAAACCAAGAGGGTTGTTGAGAAGGCTAAATGAGCTTAGAGATGCAGAGTTTGGTACATAGTATTAGCCGTTACCATTATTATAAATGTTTTGAGCCAAAATAAATAATAGAAATGACAAAGATGCCCTAAACAAAAATAGAAGTCCCCAATATTTTGGTGACTAATAATTATAATAATTTCCTATAAGCCCCTCTAATTGAAGTTTTAAAAGGTCAAAGAATGTCACATATATTAATTCTATTAACTATTTTTATTTTCAAAATCTCCATGAAGTAGCCATCACAGACACCATTATTTCCATTATTACCAGTGAGGGATCTAAAGTAACATGGAAATTTGCTGAGGTCACACAGCAGTACGGTGAGTAAACTCAGACTCCCAATTCCAAGCTCAGTAACTTTATAGCATCCAAACCACCTTTATGGTGCTCCCCTCTTCACAAGCAGCAAGTTAGGAAGTAACCATATTGTTCTTTAAACCCTCCTACATCTGGCTCCTCTGCTCTGACGTCTTTGCTGTCCTCTAACATACTGCTCCTGCATGGAGCCCGTTTGGGGCTCCCCTAATCTGCCTTTCCTGATTTGGCTCCCCAACGGTGCACAAATTCCCTTATCTACCCATATATCTATCAATGGTATTGCCTACTCAAGGATACTATTTTGAGACTCTGGAAGTCTTCCAAAGTGAAAATGAGATTTATCAGACTATAGTGACTCCTCACTTAACACCATTGATAGGTTCTTGGAAGGTGCGACTCTAAGTGAAAAGACATGAAACACAAGCAGATCCTCGAGTAGTGTCTTTCATGTCCTTCTGTTCCATGTCTGCTGGGATTATCATTCTCTCATCAATGTTATAAGGGAATGTTGAATGAATGGCTGTTAATCAAGGGCCTGCTCTAACTTGCCTGTCCTCTGAGGGCAATCTTGATCCCATTTTCAGACCTACCAAAAAAGATTAATCTGAATATTTATCATTACTAGATCCAAATGAGAACACATTTCAAAAATAACAATAATTAAAACTGTGACATCAGTGGGAGACTAGAGAGTTATCACAAATACTATGATTTGTAAGAGAATTTAAAATACTTAAAAATAAATCCGGTACTAGAGTACAATGTGATAAGAATCTTCAATAGATGGCAGTAGAAAGTAGAATTCATGACTGATATTTTGGGGAAAATTCTATTTTGAGTTAGACCTGATACCACTCACATACACACACACACACACACACACACACACACACACACTCCAGGTGGAATAATAAAGGAGTTAAATACTTCTGAAATAGAAACCAAAGCCTTAAAAAATTGAATGAAATAAGATAAACATAAAGCATCTAGAGGAAGATTTGCTGGATTTAGGAGTATAAAGAAATCACAAAGGCAAGACCAACACATTTTACTATATTTAAACAAGACCTTTCTGTTAAAAAATAAAAAGACAAATTGGGGAAATATTTGCAGAAAATGTGATAGACAAAAGTATAAATTTATTTAAGAAGAGTTCATGAGCTGAATAGGAATGACAGTAGGATTCCAAGAAATAAAAGGAAAGAACAGAAAATTTAGCAAAAATGCAGATTTGCAAGAATATTTAGTGTCAGTATATAGCTAGAAAGTTAAATTTAACAGTGTAATGTCACCTTTTAGGTATATGTATACATTAGTGAAAGATGAAAGATTTATATGATCTGAAGAGAAGCCAGAGTATGTACATGTGTATACTGGCACACACATTGCCTCCTCACACTTCACACTGCATGCTGTGGTGGACTTGTGCGCTTATACATTACTGTTGGCATTATAATTTGGCACAACACTTTTGGAAAATCACCTGCCAGCAGATATACAAAGACTGAAGTTTAAAAAACAAACGAAAACAAAGACTTGAGTTTGTTTCAGTGATTCCACTTCCAAGAATCTATCAAAAGGAATTTATTCAATATATGAAAAATCTGTAAGCATGGAGATATATTTTATAGCCTGTCTAACAGTATTGAAAATTGGAAATGACTTGAGTGTCTATCAATAAGGAAATTATTAAATGATTTTGATTCACCGTTTAAGAAAACGATGTGATCTTAAAAGTGAGTATGAAAACTAGTTAACAATATGGGAAAGTATATGATCAGATATTAACAGAAGTAACAGTATAAAAGGATATGACGATAACTATATAAAACAGGAGTATGAAGAGCACTTGAATTCAAAAAATAATGACTGAATGCATTTGAATGGATATATTCAAGGTAATTTTTTGCATTCCTGGTTTGCTAAAATTCTGCCTTATATATTTTTTTTTTTTAAAGGAATTTTTTTTTTTTTCTAGAGATTTATTTATTTATTTATACAAGCACTGGGTACAGTCAGAAGCGCGGGAGGGTGAGAGAATTCACCAGAGCCAGAACAGGGAACAGAACAGGCAACTGATGATACACTGCTGAGGGGAGCAGCAGGCGGCAGGAGAGGTCTGCGCGCCATGTGGGACCCTCGCCCGGTGGCCGGGGAGCATCCGGGGATCGAACCGGCGCTGCAGAGGCTGCGGGCAGCTTCGCAACCCAGCGCTCAACCGCTGCGCCACCGGGGAGGCCCTGCCTTATATTATTTTGATCAATTTAAAATAAAACAAAATTTTAGTTTGAGAAGGAGAGGATAGAAGGCTGAGGTACACTTGTGAAACTGACATTCCTGGCAGTTGAGGCCCTTGAAAGTCCCTTTCACACAGCATGCACCCAGTCAGAGTAAGGGTCAGCTATGAATGCCTTAACAGAAAGGGAAGCAAATTAAAATCCAACCACATACACCTGTAAATCATCAGCCCATGGGTCCAACTATGAAGCATTAGAGCTAGAAGGGGTGATAGGGATCACTGAGCACACTTCCACCCCAAATACACAAATACAATCTTACAAAATAGGGAAGTGAAGCTCAGAGAGGCTGACTGACTTGCTTAGAATCACAGCAAATTAATGGCAGCACTGAACTTGAGACCAGGCCCCTGACCCCTCACTCAGTACTCTCTCTCCTCTACCAGATCTCAGCTTCGGAAAATAGAATAAATTTTAAGGAGTCTTCGTGTAAAGGGAGTAAATAATTTTTGATTAAAAATATATATATTGCCAAGATGTAAATAATTAACTAGAAAACATTTACCCCATACCTATATATATTTCTAGAAACTTTGAAATTGGAAAAAAAAAACCCACATGAAAATGTTGGCAAGGTTTAGATCTATGATCTGTCTCTGGTCAAATTGGGGAAGAGAGCCAAACAGAAAAACATAGCTAAGTAGTAACATCTGGAAAGAAACATTCTCTTTGCCAAGGACCCACCTACCCTACAGAGAACCTACATCTTTCTGAAGCTGTGCACTGTACGCAGACTCGGGCTTGGCAGGGGTCAGCCACACGTCCAGGGCCAACCTAAGGATGCGTCTCTCCAGCAGGGTGAGGCCACTGGCTGATGTGGGTCTGCAGGCACAGCGGGCCTCCCGGAGGAGGTGTTCAAGGGTTCTGGGGATGAGTGAAGCTAGACCCAGGGAAGGGTGGAACTCCAGCAGATAAATGTTTTTCAAGGCTGGGCTTAAAGAAGAGGAACAGTTAGTGACAATTTTACACAAGGAAGGACTTAACCTGTTTTCAAAAATCTTTAAATTTTATGATTTTAAAGACAAAGTAAATAGTTCCTATAATCCAGGACATTATAAAAGACCAGGAGTGTGAAGGGACCTCAGAGGCTATAAGGAAGCCCCATTATGTTAAATAACACGTTCTTTGCTTTAATTAACACTTCTTTAAATTTGGAAGACAGAGGAGTATATTCTAAAAACTGAGTAAGAACAGGGCTCTCAGACTGCATATGGCAAACCTGTCAACATTCCAGTCAAATATTTGAAAACAAAATAATTTAAAAGTGACTGAATATTAAACAAATAATTTTCATGGTTAGCTTCTGCTTTTTTCACTTGAGTTTTTATCCCCTTTCTCCCCAAAAAAGGTTGATAGAAAAAGACAATTTTAAAATTTTGTACACAACTGCCGAAATCATTTCTATTTGCCCTAAGGATGTTTTATTTTCTAAAATGCTTTTCGGTGAGGATACAGCACAAGTCAAGGGACTTTCTGGAACTACATACAACTTACCATACATACTTCTTAAACCTACCCAGTGGTAAGAAATATAACCCTAAGGCTAGAAAGGAATCTCATCAAGTAAATAACATTTGCTTTTGAGACTATTCTGGCAAGCCTTAGTATCCATATAGTCCTAGCTTGTTCTGCCAAAACCGATTTCCTGGCAGGAGAGTCTTGCCATAGTGAGCTGTACACACAGCTGGTGTCTCAAGTTTACAACAGTGAAGAAATGAGTCCTGAGAAAGGTCTGAGGAAAATCAGCATTGTTCCTGGAACTCCCAGATGCTTTCTCAAAAGAGAGGTTAGAATCTCAGCTGTGAAATCCCAAGACATTCTGCCAGTTCCCAAGATGATACCATGGCCTGTTGTGGCAACTTTTTGCTGAACAACTCCTTGCACTGCCGGACAGGGCCCTTCCCAGGAGCGGGATCTATGCCTCTGATGCTCCATCTGTGTGCCCTGCTCGCAGCACACCTCCCGGGACATACAGACGTGAAGATGCTCGACAAATATTTTCTGGATGTTGAAAGGAGCTAGACAATCTCTCTACCCAGCTGAAGGCAGTAGAGAGGTTGTGCTCATGGGCCATTCACACTGTCCCAGAGCTTGTGCTCCCTTGCAGGTTCCTGCTCTCTTCGGAGGTTGGAAAGGAATGGGGGAGTCATAATACATGGCAAGGGGTGACATAAAGCATGTACTCTCTCTGGGTGCTCTCAGGATATTTAATCTGCTCCTTAAAGTGTCATGTTGTGTGGCCCCTTGGGATAAATCCTGTGCCAGCATTTCAAAAGGTTTTTATTTATTTTTTGGACTTTTCACAAGAATGAAGATTTTGCACCCACTACCGTGGGTTTAAATTCTAGCCTCCTATTCTTTATTATTTACAAAGTAAACCCTCCTCTGGCTTTCATACCTATTTCTCTCATCTCCCCAAATGCTTGAGAGGAACTTTGTAGAATAGTATTTAGGTTTAACACAATGACTTCAATTTATCTAGAAGATTAAATGTGAAATGTCTAAAGACAACATCAACTTACCAGCTATTGTTTATGGAAATAAGTTGCTTGCAAATGATGTTAAGTGGAAGTCCAAATTTATTGCTATCATCTGAACGGTCTTCCTGCCAAAGCCTCTGGACATACTCCCGCTGATTTTCTATCTAGAAATGTAGCATAAAAGTTAAAATTAGAAAAGTTAAACTTTCCCATGGCTGTGAGTTGTGACCCTTGGCATGAGAAGAACATCAGTCTTTTGTGTTTCTTCATTACTTAAGTAATTTTCACCCAGACATGATTTTGAGGATCCTCTCGCACAGAGACATGCTGCTGTCTCAGCTGCAGCCATGGGTCAGACAAGCTCCCCAAGGCAACCAATTTCAGACAATCTCCAGACAGGAGAAAACTTCTTCTGTCAGATAACTGACTACAAGGAAACAATTCCAAACAGGCAACAACGTTTATATTCTGCTTACTTCCTGCCACTACCTGTACCCTGGAGGTCAAACACTGTGACATTTCCTTCTGTGTCCTAAAAATAACCACAACGTTAAAATATATAATTTTATGCATGGACATCTTGAAAAGAGATCTATTTAGTCGTTTTTCCACTACTGATAAACTCTATTATACTATGAAAACAGGTTGTCCATTCTTTGCAGATCATTAGATGTAATTAGGGTTGAAAACCTCCAATTAAAACTGTGGGCATGATTGGAATTCAACAGTGCAAATGAGCTTATAGACAAACATGCTGTACATGCTGCCCTAGAAAACCCAGGTTCTGGACCCACAATTTTCAGTTCTGGCCCGTGTTTTCTAGCCTCTCCTCACATGTAATGCCATTAGATCAAGCTGTACCCACCTGCTGGTTGAGGATGCCCCGCACCAGCTGCCAGTGGAGCCTCAGACAGGCGCACTCATCTTGGTAGGACTTGGTGAAATACGGGTGGCTGAGCTCAAACCTGGGGCGCCTGTGCATGATGTCAGTGATGACCTGTGCTAAGGCAAACCTCTCCTCGGGGTCCAGCACATGCTGATAGGCTTCAAAATAACTGTCAAGAAGCTGCAAGTAAGGTTGAGACTCAGGTAAGGGCAGAGACAGCACAAGGCCCAGCGAAGAGAGGTGAGTGCTCCCGACCCCTTCACCCTCGCCCTGCTCCATGCTTTGGAAAGCTGCTGGCATTGGGGAGAGAGAGACAGCTCTGAACCTCTAGGTACCAGTCTGGGGTGGGCAGTGGCAGCACCAATGCAACCCAGAGCCATCAGCACACCCACAGCAGAGGGAGGCCTAGGGAAGAAGAGTTGATTTTGCCTCTGTCCTACTATTTCCACAAATAAAAGGGGGTTACATAATTATAGTATCTAATAATTATCAACTCCGAGGAGCCCACGCATTCACAGTCATTTCACTGAACATACATATCTACAACACTAGTCCCACAGACTCATTCCCTCTACCCCATTTACTCTCTCCCCAAAGGCAGGCAGGTGACCTCCCTTCTTCTACATCCACAGGCCCTTTTCTGACAATTCTCTTATATAGTTCACCCAGATTTCATCTATATAGAAATGATGGGGGTGGTGGTGGTCGAATGGAAGGTTGGGGGTGAAAATGATCCCTAAATACAAAGGCATTCATCGCAGACCAGACGCCACTAGAAAGGGCCTGGCACATGGAACTCTCAAAGGCATGGAGTAAGCCTCTGAGTGGCATTCAGTCCTTTCTAAAATCTAAAATAACTTTTCAGATACTAAGTGGGTTCTCAGTGTGGGAATTTAAAAGAGATATTTTTTATTTTACTTTTACATTTGTCTGTCAGCTTAGGGAGTTTGTGCTGCCTGTGTATATTCTATTTGTATATAATTAGCATATTGCCAATCAGAAAAAGCTCTTCAGAGTTCACTGGGCTAGAATCCCAAGGAGGAACCTAAAGGCAACAGAAGTAAGTAGTTCTGAACCTTGTAATTACTGTTGAAGGGTTGTTTTATAGGCCTTAGGTACTCTTACTTTTGAAGACCTGTGCCACCATAGAATAAATATATTAAAATGTGCTCACATCCCAATCAAATCCTTTGCTGTAAAAATATGAAATGATATTTATAATTTTGCATTTCACATCATTTGGCTCTGAGCAACACAATTAATTAATGTATACTTGGGAATCCCTATGAAATGAAAAATTTTGATCTATAACTTGCTTTCAAAAGTAACAAAATATAAGTGCTCAGTTAAAGTTGTTGCATTTTACAGATACTTAATTAAGCAATTATACATATTTATTTTGTATGTCCTTTTTATATTTTGAAGTTTTGGGTTTTTTTTTTTTATTGTTGTTTTCAGAACTCAAGCATTTGATTCCTGAAAATCTTTTATATCCTAGATAGGAGATTATATTGCCTAGTGGACAAATCAGCTCTGTATGGAAGCTTCTGAACATTTTTATTTTATTTTAAAAATTTATTTATTTTTATATTCCCCATACAATTGCACCCCCTTTATTTTGACCCCAAACCCTTCTTTCCCCGCCTCCCTCCATAGTGCGTTTCTGGTTTATAGTTGTTTGTTGATTTTGATTTTTTCCTTCTTATAGTTATTCTTTTTCCTGGTCCCTTATATAGGTTTTCTAGATTCCTGTTATGAGTGAGACCATCCAGCATTTTTATTTTTCTTTCTGGCTTATTTCGCTGAGCATGATCCCTTCCAGCTCCATCCATGTTGCTGCAAATTGCATGTGTTTATCTTTTTTGATTGCTGAGTAATATTCCATGGTATATATGTACCACATCTTCTTGATCCAGTCATCTATTTTTGGGCATTTGGGTTGTTTCCAAAGCTTAGCTATTGTAAATAGTGCTGCTATAAACATAGGGGTGCAGGTGCCCTTTGGAATTAATGTTTCTGAGTCCTTTGGGTAAATACCTAGGAGTGGAATTGCTGGATCATATGGAAACTCTATCTTTAGTAGGTTGAGGAATCTCCACACAACTTTCCATAGTGGTTGGGCCAGTTTGCACTCCTACCAGCAGTGCAACATTTTTAATTCCATGTCTCACAACTGAAAGAATTCTCCTCTCTCAACACATCTTCAGAGTTTTAGCTCACCAGGCCCCTCCCCAGTTGTGTTTTTTTTTTTTTGGACTACCTCTCTTATGGAAATGCCACTCTTCTAAAAAGTCTCAGCTCCTACTGAAGCCACATGGAAAAAAACACAGACACATAGGCTTGGCCTGTGTGACTTTGTTTCGCAGGGGGGACACTTGTTGGGGTGCAATTTCTGCCAGTCCAACAGCCTAGTGCACTTGAGATGCATTAAAAGCTTTGTTTCCTGGGGTGTTAGTCTTCCTGGTGACTTGAGATGGGGATGTCAGTACTCTTCTAAACTAAGGAATTTCCTGGCTCCTGTCAGTCCTGGCTTCTGAGGCTCCCAAGAGAGCAAACCATTGCAGAATCAATAACAGACCAAGAATCAAACACTGCTTTATTAATACAAGTCCAGTCAATGTTAGAGGGCTTCAATGCTAATGCTCAAGGAGGGACAGCCTGGGGCACTGCAGGCAGCATACAGTTTTGCAGGGTGCCATTTGGGTTACATTGGCCTAGGGAATCTTTGGTCAACCTCAGCCTGAAATTAAAACACCCCCCAAATACCTAAAAACTGAGGACACAGAACATACTCCACAGGTTAAAAGCTCATATTGAGTGACACAAAGGAAGGTGGAGATCCCCTTGCCTTTAAATGAAAGGGGGGAATGAAATAATTAGGGTGAATTAAATTACCTAGTTCCATCCACAGAGCTCGACTATAGAATAACAATCTATTAAACAGCAGAAAACAAAGAAAAATGGAATGACTGACCAGATGTGCTAAGAACAGTGTCATTCAATAGCCTTGGGGAAGATTAGGACAGAACAATTAGTTCCCTAATTCTTTCTGGACTAACTTGAACCTTTTGGGCTGGGCCAGAGCAGGTGCAGGAGCTAGTGCATAGTATTTATATTGCCTTGACCTGGTTTTTGTACAAAGAGCCCAGTTGTTTGATGATTGGCAGGGGAAGTTTGAGGGGAGGCTGTTTGCTAGTGACTGCATTCTGGGGACACTAGGTTGCAGAGGCTGATGCTCAATTATAGTGCAATGCTTACTTTTGTTGTTGATATGGTTGCTAGATATAACAAATAAAAATACAGGCCATCTAGTTAAACTTGAGTATCTGATAAACAAAGAATGCTTTTCTAGTATAAGTATGTTACAAATACAGTAATCTTTTACTTGACAACCTTAGCTGTTGAGAAGGGAAGGGTCGCTCTTTTTAAAAAATTGATAAGGCATTTTCAAGCTTTGGTGTCAACCTCGGGAAGCTCTCAGAAGGACCCTTGCATAATTTTTTTATGAATTCTTTCCCAACAGGGGTAGGCCCGTGATATTTCCACCTCACGGGTTCTATTTATTATCTGTTTGCTAACTGGCCCATTTCCATTTAAACTCTGGGCTGGTATTTGTCTAAGAAGTCTTCCCAGCCTGTCAAATGTCACCTGTGTGTGTCAAGAGCCAGCTCTCTGGCAAAATAGTATGCAGTACACAATGATGGTAGGCATCCAATATTGGAGAAATTAGAAAAATAGTCAAAATGAATCATCTCAAATCTCATTTTGCTTATATTATTTTTACTTCAAACTTTACTGTTTTGTAGATTTAAAAAACCGTCTTCAAAAAGTATTTTAGGTCCATTGAAAGTGCAAGATACAACTTGTTGCAGAAGTTGGGAAAACTTTCAAAGCAAAATCCCTCTACTTTTCAAAGGAAGAACATGAAAATCTTTTTAGTGCTCCAAACACTGATTCAAATTACCCGGAATCAGCATTCCCTGGAGGCTGTGGGAGAATTAAGCAGTGTCTCAAAAGTTGGTACAGTTGAAGCCTCTCTTCTCTGAGTTCCTTGATCATCTAAATTCTCACCAGCTCTAAACACATGAGCATTTATATGCAATATGATTACTTTAAGGATTTAAGAGAACCTGATTCGTAACTCTAGGGATTCCAATATATTTAACAATCTGAAAACAGCTGAGGAAAGTAGGCAGTAGAGTCAGTACTGGGGAAACCTATTATACTGGAGATAAAAATCTAGTTCATTTGACAGAATCGTGATTAAGAAGACCACATGTTACAATTTGGGCACAGATGGATAATTTTCTGTAGGAAATTTATTCTCAGGGTAGAAAGGAGGGGGATTTTTAATGATAATGTTTAAGTTAAAAGCATTTCATTTACCCAAAGAAGAATTAGCCCACGATGAACCCCAGGCTAAAGTGTGCTGAAATTGGTTTGTTTTCCAGTACGCTCCCTCTCTTTATTCTTCTCTTGCCATTGAATCCTACCAGGGCCCCCAGAAGAAACTAGAAACACTGAAAGGGGAAATGGGGGAGGGAGAGCACAGAACAGGGGGACTATTTTAAATTCAGGTCTTGCCCATGTTTAGGGATTCTGTCTAATACAGAATTACAGAATAAAAGATTCCATTTAATACGTTTCCAGTTACTACACCATGAGTCTAAATCTCTCATTTACTCAATTTATCAAAGTTAAGTTCTCATTAGCAGATCAAGATTGCAGATGCAGGAAACTCCCTGCTGGTGCAGGGGTTAAAGACAGCGCTATCAAGCTATTGCCAGCCACTGCAGCATGAGTTCGATTCCCTGGCCAGCCAGGGAGGTGACACATGGCACAGCAGATCTCTCTAGTCTCGCCCACTGCTCCCCTCAGCAGTGTGTTTCAGTAGATCTGCCTGTTCTGCTCCCCACTCTGTCTCTGGTGGGTCCTCTCACACACTCCCACGCCTCTGGCATACATCCCAGCTCTTACATGTATAAATAAATAAATCTTTAAAAAAAAAAAGATTGCAGATGCAAACTCGCTAGAGACCAGCTTACTCTTAAAAAAGGCAGTCTCCAGAACCAGGGCTTGCACATTTTAAACCAGTCAGTTATTTTTAAAAAAATTGGGTGACCTACATCTCCATAGTAGACCGGAGATGAAACGGTGAACCATCTGTTCTACTAGAAAAACAATTCAAAGAAAACATTTCTACTTCCCTATCTTCTCATCACATTACAGTGCACTGTAACCTGGCTTCCACACCTACCCTCTGAGAGAATCCAGGCTGACCCCACAGCCTGGTCTTCAGGAGACATCTTTCCTGGGGTTCCGCTGCACGCCACACTAATTAAACTCCTACTTAAAATGCTTTTTTCTGTTGACTTTCATAACACTATTCCGTACTCTTTTTTCCTTCAGTCTGTTTGGCTACTCTCGTGGGCTCTTGCTCCATGACCCTCTCCTTAAAGTGTCACAAGGGTCACATTTCAGACATCTCTGGTGTTTCCTAGTTTTTTTTGACTCATTACTGTGGTTCAACTTCTTCACTCATACCTCAGCTCATACCTGCTCCTCAAACCCAAGGCCCCCACAAATCATTCACAGCTATGTTTTAGCAAACCACTCAAATGCCTTATGTCCTAGACTCAGTATTATCTTCCTTCCTATCTGCCCCTCCCTTTGCATTGTTTTGGCTAACAGCCTCCTCCCAGATGCAGAGGAGGTCATTTTAATTCCAATCTTATTCCCTCACTAAACCAGTCAGTCTTCAAATCTTGCCATTTTTCACTTGTGCAAAATGTTCTCAAGTTTGCTTCCTATTCTATTATGTGTTTAGTTTAGGTCCCTGCCTAACTCTCCGCCCCCCCCCCCCATGAACTTCCTTTCTCGAGGAGCTTTCCATTCCTGTCTATTCTCTCCACTGACACCCCAACAGCTGTATAAGACAAAGCTATGATCATATTTCTCCCCACTGAAATTCATCATGGCTTGTCTTGCCAGTCAGACTAATTCTAAACATAGCAGGGGTCAGCAGGCCCGTCAGAGGCTGCACCCAGACCATAGGATCACATTGCTTCCCATCCTGCCTTTCATTCCTGCCATAAAGTCTTCTTGCCATTTTCCCAGCTCACAGTTCCCATATCATGCCTCTTTGACATTGCTAATGCTGTTTTCTCTGCTTAAGAATCTTTCTTTTTCTGCCAGGCAACATCTTCCTCATCTTCAGTATCAAGGTTAAATGGCTATTCCTCCGGGAAGACTTGCCGACATCTCCTTTACTCTGACAGCCCTCCTCGGGGCAAAGGATTCCTCTACTGGGGTTCCCTCAGTTGAAAACTGTTAGCCACTGGGTTATAATTTTTACTTAGAGATTGGATCAACTTTTATAGACTTAAAGCTGGAAATCATCTTCCCTTGTTTATCTCTATATCCATACTGTTTGGAATAGTACCTGTACAGGGTAAATCTTCAGTGTTTGATGAATCACCTTGCAACAGTGGGTGTCTATCAGAAGCATGACTCACCCATGTTAAGGACCTAAGTGAAGAGCAGTACAACTGCGCCATTTTGTTTCTACTGAGAAGTGAATCATCAGTGATATGGTGATGATTTAGTAACACGCTGTTTCACTGTTGTAGCCTTACCTTGTAACTGGCTGCTGTGAGTATTCCTTGCTCAACTGCTTTCACCCACCTATCTGTGGCACTCATGCCACAAAGTCACATGTGAGGCTTGTCCTAATAAAGTATGCATCTAAGAGAAGGTATCCTTCACATTTTATTTTTTCTAACTAAAAAAAAAAATAAATAAAATTTATTACTTACATCCTTACAACTAATTGAGATTGTTTAAATAAAATAATTATTCACTTTATTGTGAGTCACCATAACTGATCCACTGGGTTAAGGAAAACAATACAAGATTTTATAAGAATGTTTGATAAGTGTTTTGTTTTCTAGGCAAAAATACCTGGCGCTTGTTTTCTAGAAGAGCTGCTTCCCAAGTCCACAAGTCATACAGCACAGCAAACCTGTCCACACCCGCATGGGCCCATCCCCAATCCAGGCCAGTGTTTGACTCGCTGCCCTCTTTGTGACCTGCGGGAGAAGGGGATGGGAACAATCAGAGATGGGGCTCTCTAAGAAACTGTTCCCATTAGAAATGTGACCCTGGCACTGTCAGCTCCATCTCAGGGAGGAAATTACTGAATTGGTCACTGGGATTCATTCCTAAGGATCAGCCAAAGACCCATGGGCAAATAGGTCCTAAGTTCAAATGTGTCAACAAGGTTTTTTGTTTTTTTCTTCTAACTTTTAAAGACTAATTTTAGAAATATAACCAAAATTCAGTGAACTTGAAAACTTTACCAAAATGTCCTCAATCCTATAATTTAAATGCAAGACATATATTTCTCCTCTAAAAACAGGCCCTTAGTGGTTTAACAGCAAACCCAGTTTGACCTGCTATTTCAACTGATGCTAGCCAAATTAAACATTTTCAGGAAAGTTTCAGAGATATTCCTTAATTGTGTTAATTACTAACTTAAGAATTGAAAGTAATCATTGTCATTCAGCTAAAATATTTTCTCACTATATTAATGTTAGCTTTCACTATCAACATTATTAATGCTTAAAATCCCTAAGGGGTTTCTTTCAGAGTGAAATATTAAAAAGTAAGAGATTTTCAGTGCTAAAGTTTGAGTTCAGTAATTGTCACAAACATGATAGGTAGTGAACATGAGGAAGTCTTTGATCTGGAATTTCTCTAGCTGCAGTTGGGAAATCATTTCACAACAGGTGACTATAGAGCTGCTATAGTTGAGTGATGCTCATGTGTGTAAATGATTAGTGAGTATTTCAATCAAATTACGTTCTTAGCAGCTGGAAATGATAGCATGGTAACATAAATTAATATCAACATAAATGATATATTAATGTTTAGGATAACCAGTAAAGATAAGCATTACGAGCTGAAATTAACTGCCCTGGAATGTCAGCTGCCATTACTGCATTTCACGATCCCCGTCCCAATGGTCTATAGCAGAGAGGACAAAGAGGTCAACCTGATATTCTGATTAATTTTGTCTAGGATGTGAAATGCTAATTGTCAAACATTCTTCAAGCAATGTGTTGTAACAATATGAAAATGAATTATCCTTACTTACAGTCTACATATATTACAAAACAACACAATTGCTAAATTTCCCTTTAGGTGCTGCAGTATATTCAGAAACTCTAACCTCTTTCTAAATATAATACTCATGTCATATATTTCCAAAAGGAATAGCCTTACCTCACCTATTTCTAAAATGGGATAAATTTGACCAATGCCAAAAGGAAGAGAGAATAAACATTCTTGGTTATTTGATTACCGTGAGTAATGATTTCTCCCTTTGGGGCTTCTCTAGCATTTCTCTAGCCAGATCTTCTTGCATCCTGGTGCTTTTCTGTTAGCAACCCAGGAATATCTGTGCTTCTAACTGCAGTTTCCCAAAGTCAATCAGGTTTTTTTGTCACTTAGAAAAATAGCCATCCATTTCCCTCACTTGTTTTGCTTCCCCTGGGACCCTGCACCACAACCCCTTATATTTCTGCCTGATGCAGAAATGTGCCTGGGCAGTGAGCCTAAATTATAGCACAGCTCTGGGATGGACGTCACAGTTGCCAAGAGAAGGGGGATTTAAGCTGGAAACAGAACTGTATCTTTTCTGAAGTAGATATGTGTTGGGAGGTGTAAGTGCTTATTGAACTTTCTGGTACATTCAGATACACATTTATGTTCTGGGGGGAGGTTATTAAATGGAGCCCTTCGTGTTTTTTTGGTCTGTTTGGTAAGTTTTTAACAAGCTGACCTCTGACCTTTCTCTTTCTCAATGTAGTGGCTGGCCACGAGCAGCAGCTCTGCCTCTAGTTCCTCCAGATCACGCAAGGCTTCATCATACATGACATGCAGCCCCTGCTGGTCCTGGGTGTGGATGCAGCCAGCTCCTGTGCTATAGTAGTCGTCCTGATTCTCCACTTCTGAGAACTCCATGAATTGCACACTGTGGACCTGGGGAAAGAAAGCCAAGCCCTGAAGTTACCGGAAAAGGGAGAGCTATATTTTGCAGCCCAAATGGACCAAACAGCAGGCTTCCGCTCCCACGCAGTGGGCTGTCAGCACGGAGCTGGAGACATCCTGAATGTATAAAAAGCTGTATGTAGAGAAAAAGATATTAACAAGGAATGTTGGCAGGAAAGGATTGTTCCTGAGGTAAATGACTGACTGATGAAGGTTTGTTTTTCTGATTAACTCAGAATTACCTGGATAGAGGCAGGCAACACAACAGTATTAACAGTGGAGGCTGGAGCGAGAGTGCCTGCGGTCAGGTCCTGGCTGTGCGAGATGTAGCCTGGGAACGCCACGCAGCCACTCCTAGCCTCCTTCTTCTCATAGTCTCCAACACGGGGGTTGGAGACATCACACAGTGTGGGAAGTGTGTGACACAGCACACCAGGCACAAGAACTATGAATGTTAGTGTCAAAAGATTTTTTGCTTTGATCTCATGTCTTAGTAACATTCTGGGTAGAATGGTGTTCCCCAAAAATTCACGTCCACCTAAAACCTGTGAACATGACCTTATTTGGAAACAGTCTTTGTGGATTTATTCAAGACAAGATGAGGGCAGACAGAAGTAGGGTGGACCCTATCCAATAACTGGTGTCCTCATTAAAGAGGAACATTTGGAGACAGATACACAGGGGAGGCCAGCTGAAGACAAGGCAGAGGTTGGAGTGGTGCATCTATAAACCAAGGAATACCAAGGAACACTGAGGTTTGTTGGTGACTACCACGAGCTTGAGAAGGCAAGAAAGGCTGGCCAGAGAGATCCTGGTCCTCCTGGCAGCTTGAGGTAAGGCATCCAGAGCTGTGGAAGACCAAATCTTTCTCCCAGTTGTGAGCTACCTGCTTTGTGGTGCTTTGTGTGGCAGCCCAAGGAAACCAATACAAGCATTCAAATATTCCAATCATAATTTTATTTTTTTGGAGGACCAAGAACCCATTGCATTCTGAGAATCAAAATTCTAATACTAAATTCTCATACTTTTAAACTTCCCACCCTTCATAAGCCTCGTAATTCAGTGCTCCCATGCCCAGCCTCAGCAGAAGCCCCTCACTCTTCCATTCACACACACTAAACCCACCACACTCACGCCCCCCCAAGCCTCCTGAGCTCTAGGGGACAATTCCCTCCCCTTCTCTAAGGTCGTTTCCTCCCTTGCTTTGGATTCATCCCCACTACCTCTGAAGCAACCCTTCTCCTTGGAGCGCTAACTCCTTTCAACCAGATATTTCCCACCTGACAGGGAGACATGCTGACATCCCTCTCATTTTAAATCATCCTCATGCTTCCCCCAGGTTCCACCTTACATTTCTCCTGCTTCCCCGTGTCCAACTTCCCAAGATGTTATCTGTACTCATGGTTTCCATTTCCTCACCTTGCACTCCTCAGCCGTTTCTATTTGGCTCGCATCTCCATCAAGCCACCCAAGCCACTTTCATTAAGACCAACAATGAACTTCTCTCCACATCCCGCAGACCTTCATCAGTCACATTCCAACCTCTCTCAGCAGCAGCTGACAGGGTAGCCCTGCCCCATGGCCTCACCCTTTCCCCTGGCCTGCTTGGGACTGCACATTCTCCTTGTCCTCAACAGCTGGTGGTCATGCTCAAGCACCAGGCCTAGGGCCTCATATTTTCTCCATATACCTCTTCTTTAGTACATGTTCACAGCAGAGATTATCATTAGATACTTTGCTCCCCAATTTATATCTCTAATCCAGGCCTTCTAGGACTCCAGACTCACATGTGCAATTACCTATTTGGCATCTTTTTCTGGGACTCTCAAAGACCCCTTAACTTTAACGAGATCAAATTGTGTGATCCCCCCACAAATCTAGGCCTTCATAAATAGCTCCACCCCCTCCGCTTCCCCTAGCATGATTCATTCCGGGTGTCTGGGTGTCTCTATCTGCTTCACCCTACATGTCCAGTCATCATGAGGTCCTGTTGACTTTAATTCCTATCTCTCAAGTCCACCCACTTTTCTATCTTCACCACCCGCCACCCTAGTTCGAGCTGTTACTATTATCTTTCACTAGTACTAGTGTAGGAGCTTCTAAACTGGTGTAACCTTTGTCTGGTTTTTCTGCATGCCCGCTGGCCTGGGCTTTTCCTTCCCTCTATGCTACTCCCTGCTGACAGAGGATCTTTAATAATGCTGGGTTTTGATTATGTCCTTCCTCCTTTCCTTTAATAATATCCTTAAAGGCTTCCCTTTGCTCACAGAATAAAGAAAAACACCTTTAAGATGACCTAGAAGGTCTGGGTCCTGTTTCTCTCTCTCTAGTTCTCAACCACAAGTTATTTTGCCCTCCCTCCACCCCAAGGTCATTAGCCATGTGTGGAGGAACTTCTGGTTGTCACAACTCAGGTGGAGGTGTCACAACTTGGTATCTAGTGAGTAAAGATCTGGGATACAGCCAGATATCCTGTATGCACCGGACATCCTCTCACAGCAAAGAATTATCAGGCTCAAATGCTAATAGTGTCAACATTAAGAAACAATGGGAAGTTTCACTTGCATCACTTTCCAGCCACTCAGGCATTTTGGTTTCTTGTGTATGCTGTGTTCCCACCGGCCACAGTTCCTTCGGACAGGCTATCCATCCCCCTTTGCCTAGTTGAAACTTCTTGTCTTCCTACCTCAGCTCATTAGTCACTGTTCTAGGGAGCTGTCCCTGGCCTCTGTATAACTCCTGTCTCTCTCTCTCTCTCTCTCTCTCTCTCTTTTAAAGATTTATTTATACAAGCACTGGGGTATAGGCCAGAGGCACGGGAGGGTGTGAGAATTCACCAGACAGAGCAGGGAGCAGAACAGGCAGAAGGACCAAAGCACACTGCTGAGGGGAGCAGCGGGCAAGGCAGGAGAGGTCTGTCTCATCATGTGGGAATCTCCCTGGCCAGCTGGGAATTGAACTCACGCTGCAGAGGCTGCAGACAGTTTCACAGTGCTGCACTCAACCCGCTGTGCCACTGGGGAGGCCCTCTAGTGTCTCTTTTCAGGCACATCCTGAGGTCACTGTTTTTCATTTATTTGTGTGGTTAGTTTTACATACAGATTTCCTTTAGTCTATAGTTTTATGATGCCTACCTGTATTTTTAACATATACCAGTCAGAAATACTGTGTTTTACCCTCATAAGAAGATAAGAATCTTCTTATCTAATGTCATTACAGCCCAATACATGCACCCTTGAAAGGGGTGATCGTATCCAGGATAAACAGCAGTTCTTAGAGGACAAAACAATCTTACTCTTTTTTAATATAAATTTATATATTTTACATGGCACATCTCTGCTATTAACATTTCTTTGGAGGGAGACAATTAGTTTTTACATTATGTAAAATATAATTTTCTTGTTATCCATGAGACAATTAAATTATGGAACTAATGGCTCCCAATCTTTTATCCCCCATCTATTCATTCTTATAAAATTTGCTAAGTTAAGTAGATAATTGTTCAGTAGAATCCATTTATCTGTAAATTTTAAGCAATTATTGTGTCTTGGCTCTCAAAAGACCAGTCAGTTGGTTTTCATATGTGGTGCTACCTATTGTAGGACTATATAAGCTTCTCTGGAAACTTCACAAACATGGCAGATCCTGCTAATCCTAAGAGGCCTGTTCAGCCATCCTTTTGTTACCTACAGTTCTGCATTCCTATACAAGGTCAGAACTGTTGGGTCAATCACTTATAGGAGTCCAACTCTACAAGGTGCCTTTCAATCAATCAAGAGCAGAAAGCTTGATCACCTTGGGAAGGGCTATGTATCGTGAGGTATGACCAGGAATGCCTGGGGGGCATTGACTGATGTATGACAAGGGACCCCAAAAGCTGATCAGTGGAATACATTGATAAGATTGAAACCATGGCTGGAGATCTAGGGATTGATCTCAATCTCAATACTGAGTCATCAAGTAGATGAGAAATGCCTGGGGGGCAAACTCACTTTGCCTGGCGGGCAAAGCACATTATCTAGTTTCACCCCTCCCTTTTCTTTTTGTCCTCCCTCCCCACACAACTGATGCTGTATGATTATTCTGAGAATAAAAAGGCCAGGATCTTGCTCTTTCAGCAGCATCCTGCGTTGTACAGCTTGCTCCATGACTTCCATTTGTCAGTGCAGTGTTGTCAATGCAACAGCAGATTATAATCTCGGATGGCTGACAGTCAAAGTCAGAAAGTTGGAGGAGCAGTGCTCTCAGTTCTAAGGTTCTATGCTTCATTTTTATGTGTTGATAGAAATACACTAGAGGATGACAGACCTAATATTCCTGAAGAATCTCTTCTTTCGTGAATTGCCCATTCAATGACAGATTCCTAATTATTCAAGAGAAATTTAGAAATCTTCTGAAAAGTAAAAGTGAATCCATCTAAATAGTAGCTATGGTCCATAATATTCCATCAAATGAACATTTCACAGTTAGCATTAATCTAGAAGATGATTGGTTTGCTTTCCTTTTTTGCTGTTCTTTAAAGCACAAAACTTTTTAATAATTAAGAACTTCCTTAGGTGTTCCCAAAGTCTACCACCTATTAAGCCAAAGGAGCTCTCTTTTGAGGAAAAAAGGACAACTTGATGTGGTATGCTTTGCTACTTTGCTAGAAAAGACCTTTCTCAATGTCCTAGTGGGAGAGGGATTTTATAAGACTAAAAAAATGACTACTGAAGGGGCCTCCCTGGTAGCACAGGTGGTTGAGCACAGTGCTGTGAAGCTGCCCAAAGCCTCTGTAGTGCCAGTTTGATCCCCGCCGGCCACAGAGATACCCACATGGTGAGGCAGACCTCTCCTGTCTTGCCTGCTGCTCCCCTAAGCAGTATTTTTCAGTCATGCTACCTGTTCTGGTCCCTGCTCTGTCTCTGGTGAATCCTCTCACCTGCCCACATATCTGGCCTGTATCCAGGTCCTTGTATGCATAAATAAAATAAATAAATCTTTAAAAAAAATGACTACTGGATTGAGTTCTGAAGCTGATGTAAAGTGGGCAATGTCAAGCTATTGACTGTAACGCTAGCATCCTTGTATTTTTTTTATTGAATTAAGTTTAGTTTACAACACTGTATAGGTTTGGGGTGTACCATTTTTCACCTCAGCAACTCTACCTATCACACCACACCCACCGCCATGTGTCTGTTCACCATCCATCAGCTGTCATCTATTTAAAGAGTCTTTCTTCCCACTCTCCCCAGTCATACCCCATTGTTCAAGTCCTTGATACACATACATATTCCTCCTCTTTCCCTCTCTCAGGGAAATGAACTCCTCATCTCATAAGAGATGAAATTTGAAGACAAGATGGCCAAATTCCTTCATGCAGGGTCATTTCCTTTTTATTTTAATTCCTTCCATGCCATGTGGGAGACCCTCCTTCTAAAGTTTTTGTGGTGTAGAGAGTTGATTTTTCAATATTATGCTTAGAGGAGTGGCAGGAAGGGGAAGGCAATAATTACCTGTTTGGATAAGAAATAATCAGATCCTTGGTATGATTCATATGTTTTTAAGTCTGCAAATTAACTGATGCCAAGATAACTATGAGCATACTAACTACAGGAAAATTGGTGGCCCATAATTCATTCCTTCCTTCTACTGGTTTCTGTCATGACTTGTTAATATAACTTTTAATTACTTATTTATTTTGCAGTTTTACGGCTTTACTAACACAATATGGTATATTTTCTTGGCTGCACAGCCTGGCATGGGGATGGGTGACTCTGACGGCCAGATGGGCTGCTCTCTCCTCAGCGGCTTTGCGGTTCTTGTAGGAGACGCTGTGAGTAATCTCAGCACAGTAAGATTTGTTGTGCATCTGCAGCATGTAAGCCCCTTTATGCCAGGCACCTGGAACTTCCAGAAGCATGTGCTTTGTTTCGTTGTTGCTCCCATAACCAATGTTGGTCATCAAGCTCTGGCCCTTGAATCTTCCGTGCACCCCACCCACCAATCTTTATAAGCTCACTTTTCCTCATTCACTCCAGCTGCACTGAGCTACTTGCTGCTCCTGCAGACTCGGTGCTGCCTCAGGCCTTCACATTGACTTTACCCTCGCCTGGCTCTCTGTTCCCATCATCACATGGTTTGCTTCCTTATTGCTTTAGGTCTTTTCTCAAATAGTACTGTCCCAGTGAGGCGTTCCTCGATGACCCCATATAGCACCGCACTTCCTCTCTACTCCCCTTGCCTTCTTAAGTTTTCTCTACCTACCCATCTGTGAATCCCCAAAGGCTGAGTTATTCTGTGATAAACATTCCCAAAGCTTGCACTTAAAATCCCTTCCTCACCCTACAGACTAGTTGCTTTCTAAGACAGCTATCTTCCAGCAGAGATCCAGGAATACAGGAAGTTTCAATCTTGTGACTCAGCATCACTTCCACTGGCTGCAGCAGAAGAAAGCTGGAGAGGTCAAGGACCTGCTCTAAAATGCTTTGAACTGGAAGTGCTACATGTCACTTCTGCTCTCAATCCACTAGCCAAAGTGGGCACTCACTGTGGCCCCACGCACCTGAAGGAGCTAGAAAATCTCAGGAAGCTTTGGTGCCACACCATCTGACATTATACATGTCACTTGTTAAGTGTCTTTTTCCACTAAATAGTCCTATGATTGCAGGGATTTGTGCCAGTTTTATTTATTGCAGCATCCCTTGTGTCTAGAACAGTGCCTGACATATTTATTGGTGAGAAGATTTATGGAATGAATGAGTGAATGAATGAATGAATGACAGGCTCACAGCCTGTGGGTGTAGACAAGCCAACAGTCTGGCATGGCAGTGAGCTGAGTGCTGCAATGGAGGTCGATGAGTGATGGGGAGAAGCAGTCAGTGCCACATAGAGACATAAGGAAGGCTCCCCAGAGTGGTAGTACTTGAATGGATCCTTGCTAGAGTAGGCATTTACCAAGGAAGAGGAGGTGAGGGATGGAAGAGCCAGTATGTACAAGACCCAGGGGCATGAATAGCTCTTCTCATTTAGAGGAGGGCCACACTCAGCTCTGTACAAATGGAGGCATAAGGACAGTAGGGGGAAGGTGAGGTCATGAGGTTGGCAAGAACAAGATTGTGCCCAGTCTTGTAAACTTCACCATGAAGACTGGACTTTATCTTATGAGAAACAGGGAAGTCATGAGAGATTTAAAGCATGATCTTTGGGAAATTTACAAAGTTATGGGGAGAACCATTTTCCTATATAAGATTCTCTCATTCCCATCAATCTTGGAGTTAGTCCCACAACCCATGTAAACAGCCCTCCACAGTCTGACCCACTTTTCTCTGCAGGCTCATCTCCTACCACTTGTCCACCACAGCCTCTGCCAGTTGCATATGAGGTCTAGCACACACCTGGGGTATCAGGTCTTGGGGCCTGAAGTCAAACACTCACCGTCCAGTGGCTGGGAACAGCCTGTGCCCTGGTATTCTGGGCCTCTTTTCACTCTGCCACTTGCCTTAAATTGGCTCATAAAGTTGCAAAGTGTCCTTGCTGGCGTTAGGTGCTCTCCTTTTCTGGCCCAGCTTCCCCTGCTATCTGAAAGTAGGAGGCTCCTATTTGGTATGAGTTGGTAGGTTTTTGTTTTTGGTCTGGGAATATTGTTGCCATTAAATTATATTAAAAATACATAATAATTATAATAATTTGAATGCCACAACAGACGGCCACTTCTTGGAGTTTCTCACACTAAAGTATTAGCTGCTGGTAGCTTCACAGGTGCTGCTATTCCTGTCATTTAGGAGCACATAGGAGAGAATATCGTGTTACCCCTGAGCAGCTCTTCCTACAGTCAGGACTGGATAAGAATCATCTCCCCTCTCCCCACTTCACTCTACCTCCCACCTCTTCCCTGGAACAAACAAAATGGGAGAGAGTTCATTGGCAGGAAAGATTTTTTTTTTTTTTAATCTATTAGCAAACAATACACCACAGCTGTGTTATAAGGCAGACAGGAGAAAGATGTTTATTTTACAGGTGTGTCTGTTTCAAAAGTACTTAATCCCCCGGTCTAACTCCACTGAGACACAAAATGACTGGACTGGACTGACCTGGAGGTAGGGTCAAGGGAGGAGGGCAGAGAGGGAGGGGAAGTTTTTGTCTGTTGCACTGGAATTCTTGTGTGGTGAAGGGACTCACTCGTGGGGGTTGCTTATCAGGGAGGGAGACCAAAAAGAGAAGGGTCTCCTAGATACTGAGTGAAGATTGGTTTCTAGGTGACTGGATGAGAAAAACAAGAAAAGATTTTTCAACATCTGGGGCTGAACTGTTCAATACAATAGCCTCTAAACACATGTGCTATTGAGTGCTTGAAATGTGGCTTTTGAGCACCTGAGATGCCCCTTGTCTGAGGTGTGTTGTGCAAGACAGAAGGTGCACACCCGATTCTGAAGACTTAGTATAAATATATATATATATGTAATATATAAAATATCTCACCAATGAGTTCTTTACATTGATTCCATGGTAAAATGATAATAATTACACTAAATGATACTAACTTGAAATAACGTCTATTATCAAAATTAGTTTCACATATTTCCTTGTCCATTTAAAATTATGGCTATTAGACTCTTCTAAATAATCTCTGTGGCTGGTATGTCTTTCTATTGGTCAGTGCTGCCCCAGACTCAGCAGATGCTGTGGACTCACTGGTGACTAACAGCAAGATTTCAAGCTTCGAGACATGACAAGTGTAAGTTGGGGGGGTCATGCAAGCTTAGAATACAACTTGTTGTGTAGGTAGAGGGCTTTTATTTTTCACATTTGTCAATCTACTATCTTTTAAGAAGATATAACATATTAAATGGTATCTTCAGGAACAAACTCTCTGGAGATTGAGAGAGAAATATGGTAAGCATGTCTATGATATTCCAAGAAAATATAGGCATTTTTAACTTTACTCCTAATGAAAAGGATTTAATGACCTTGTGTTATACAGGATTGAAATTACATAAACTATAGAAAATACTTTTAAGAGCTATCAAAATCACCCAGGGTCAAGCAGGTTTTGGGAGGAATAAAAGATTTTTTATTTTTCAGCTCAATTTTTTATCTTCATTATTTTTACCTTTATTATCTTTTACTATTTTTCTCATTTGTAGATCGGAGAATAGGAAAGAGGCAAAAAGTTACCTCTAGCAATGTCAAGGAGAGCCTTGGCATTGGGCTTCTCTATAAGGATATGTTACGCTGGGCTTAGAATTACAAAAAGGGTCCCTCGTGCTCAACAAACCCGTAGCTGACACACCTTTCTCCTACTATGGCCATCAGGGCTGCTGTCAGAGTGTCCTGCTCTCAAGTGGACTGCATTTTATTGTGTTTAAAAAGCCACTTCCTTTGTCACCACAATTTTTATTTTTTTAATTTTTTGAATGTTTTATTTATTTTTTTATTTATTTATATTTTTTACATCATTGTTCATTTTTAAACAATATTTGCTTCCCCCCACCCCCTCAGGTGTAGTCCCCAGAGTTTCCTTCACCAATGCACCTGTGCTCTTCCCTCTCGCCTTGTGGTCCCTCTCCCTCCTCTTCCCCCTGCAGTATGTCTCTGCTTTATAACTGTCTGTTTTTGCTTTGTTGTGTTTTGTACTGTTACTATTCTTTGTGGGGTAAGGTAAAAGTATCAGGCTTTTCTGCCCTCCCGCCATTAGGATAGATGATGGATCCTTGCGGTCCTGAATGCATGCCTGATGGCGGGCACCTGGAGTAGGGTGTGGGCATAGGTATATGGGATTCACCTGGGCTAAGACTGGGCTTTTAAGGGCGGCGTCACGGGGACGCCAGCAGAAGCCAAGAGAGCAGAAGCCGAGAGAAGAGAAACAGTAGAAGCTGAGAAGCAGAGAAGCAGAACAGAAGCCTAGAGAGAGAGAGAATGCCAGAGAGCCCAGATAGAGTGAAGACTTGCTGGCATGTACCTGGTAAATCCCAATAAAAGCCTGCAAAACCCACTGAGGGCTCCAGGACTCCCCCTTTACCCGGTTTGCTGGATCAGAAAACCTGCCCTGTGTCATTCCTGCCCCTACATCTCTTACACTGATGTCTTATTGGGTTCCCCTATATTCCTGCTCTAAGTGAAACCTTTTTAAAAAGCCATTTCCCCAAGAAACTCCATCTTGTTACTGTTAAGCATTCCAGGTGCTAAGCAGGAGGTGGTGGCTCAGGAGACACCACTCAAGTAATAAAAAAATTCTAGCCAAATACCTCACCTTTTGCTCAGCAGGTGTCCCATGGACGTAGAGGTGAGCTCCTAAGCCTTGCAAGGTGCCTACTCCTCCTTTTGCCAAATTTACCCTGGAACTCTCTTCCACGGTGGAGACCAGGTTGCCAGCAACCAAGGTAAGACCCGCAGTGTTGATGGTCAGCGTTCTCTCAACGGATCTGAAATAGTTCAGCATTCCTAAGCAGATGCGCTGAAACAAAGAAGGAACAGGATCAGGACCCTGCTCCTTGTCAGTCCCACCCTATGGAGTAAAACTTAGTGGGCTTCTGGAGGTTGACAGTTCAACCCCATTGCTGAAAAAAAGAACACACCACCCCAGAAGGGCACTGATTTCATGGAAAAATCAGAACAAAGAGCAAAGTTACACACGTGTTGTTACTAAAATAGCATAAAAGCTCCTTCCTACCCAACCAAACATTTTCAGATGCCTGAATCCAGCATTCCTGGCGCTCCACGTACCTGGAGCTCCCTGATTCGCAGGTGACGCAGATACAGAAAGGACAAGTAGGACCCTCTCATCAGGACAGAATCCCCATCCCTGGACCCAGTCCCATCATCCAAACCCAGCAGTTGTAGGGTCATTGTGTAGCTGTACCTTCAGAGGAAGGAAAAATAGAATAAATGCCTTTCATCTCCAAGGGGTACAGAAAATTCACATATACTAAACTGAAGTCATTTTACTTAGCTTCAGGGAATATTGCAATAATTACTTTTTAAAAATGCTTTGGAGGGAAAATAATTAACCTATATGTGTAAATATAAAATGAGAATTCTCTTAGCAATCATTCTTGCTAAAACCCAAGTCCTGGGGTGAAACATTAATTTAGTTGTTTGATCTGCTTTAACAATCTTGCTTTCTTCTCAGTGTCAAATATTTTTGAGTTAATATGTAACCAACATATTAATCAACCACTGAATTTTCTCCACAGTGTTTAATCTCTTTCCTGGAGTCACCAATAAAATGATTTATTTTACCTTTTCTTTTGTTTCTGCTTGACAGGCACATCAGCACATTGGCTGAGACTTATTTGTGCTAAGTCATTCTCATTTCGTTCCATTGAAAGGTCATCTTCCCTCATATTTTCATTCTATCAAAAAAAAGTAGCATTAGTTGAATTACATAAACATTTGCACTATTATTAACAAAATCACAGGTGGGTCATCACAACATTACACCTCATGACTAAAGGTATATTTAGATGCATAAATAGAACATCACCTTGATTCATTTCAACTTGACATAGGAAATCTGGATTTCAAAAATAAATTAGGGGTCAATGTTTTTACTCTTATTTAATCTTTGCTTGATGAAAGTCTTACAACTTTTCAATGCCAGCCACCGCAACTCCCCACCTTTTACATGATTCATTTTCTGAAAAGTTGATATGCACATTTTTCAAGAATTTCTATATTTGGAACCATGAGTCTCTCTAATTTACTCTTGTTCCAGGCTGAGAAAGATCATTGGCTGAAAACTCTCTTTCTGTGTTTTAGAGTTATGATTTAGTGACTTAAAGTCTCAAGCCTGATTTCACATTTGTTAAACGGTATGATAATGGAAAATGTTAAGTTTCTGTGATGATGAAATACAGGGTGGATATAAAACTCAGTGAACAGCATTATTAAGTGCCCAGCTCATGTCAGAGCTGCCCTGGCGGTGGGGTACAGTATTCAGGAGATATCACAGAATTTGTAGCTTATCTCCACAGTCATCTTTCTTGATGTGGCCCCATTTTGTTGATACTGGTAATATCCTCTGGACAGCCCCTTTCTCAGTTGCCTTCTCTGCCTGTCCCTGGGCACACACCCCATTCTCACAAGACATGTGGCACTGATCCCACAAAAACACTGAGTGGCAATGGCTTAGGTTGGAACATTTCTCTTTGAGTTACTTGTATTCTATTCATTGGTTCTTAGAATTTCAAGTCTCCAGAAATTGTTGACTGTTCCCCAATATTCATTTTCCTTTTTTCCCATAGTCTTTATTGAGTCTTTATTGTGATATATGGCTGCCCAGATGAAGATGATGTTTGTAAGTGTGACTTACAGCTGTGTATGCTACAAGTTCTAGCCAGTGGAATGAAAGTGAAAATGCCATGTGGCAGTTTCCAGCAATTTCTCTGAAGTGGCAGCTTCCCTACCTGAGTCTCCACCTGTATGTTAGGACATGAACATGACAGCTAGACCAGGTAAGGCGGTCACATTTGTTGGAACTATAAGAACTCAGGTCCCTGAAGATAGCATTGAACAAATGGCCACAGCATCCCTGTTCTTCCTACCACTGGATGTAAATATGAGGGGAAAAGAGAAATTTCTATTGCCTTTTATGCTATGTTATATTGCATTTTTCCATTACCAACAGCCAATTCTAATCTTAGCAGTTACAGTCCCCAAGACTCTAAATATAGATTACCAGTCTACGACAGCAGTAAGAAAGAAAATTTTGGACAGAGACATTAGGAAGAGTAGGTGAGAGAGAAAGATGTCCAATTGGGTATCGGCAAGTGGTTTCCCTTCCTGCCAGTAAGTGGAATGAGCCCATTTGTTCTGGGTAAGTGTGCTCATCAGTGTATTTCTGTGTAAACATCCCATAGTCATAGGACTGGAAACCCCGCCTTGGGAGGTGATGTGTGCACTATAGTTCCTTAGTACAGAACACAAGATCTTCATCCCAAAGTAAAATGAGCTTCCATTATCTTTTAAAACCATAGCAAAGCATATACTTCATGATGGAAGCTGAATTTTGACAGTTCCTATTGAAAGAGAATTTGGGGTGAGGAGCTCCTAGGCCTTCAGTGCTCTTCTGCTGCAGTTCTGCATGGCCCTGTGTGGTTCCAGAGGGCAAGTTTGTAGCCACAGCCTTTCTTTGATGGGACTGTGATTTCCTAGAACTACATAAAAAGGAACAGAAAGTGACGTCCAGTTACAGTGAGACAATTTGAAGGAATCACCAGCCAGACCAAAAAGTACTACTGGAGTGGCAGTTTGCCAGGAATAAAGGAATTGGGGCGCTACAGGCTGGGGAAAGTAAAACAGCAGAGTACAGCATCCTCCGGAAAGGGGGCCAGCCACGGCCCACAGGAGGGGCTGCTTCGGGAAATGCCAAGAGACCTTGCGTGGATTCCCCTAAGGGAACAGGACGCAGGGCAGGTAAACACAGAGCTGACGAGAAGCCAGATGTCAGCCCCCTCTGTGCTCATTCACCTGGGGCAGTAGGTAACTACTTTGACATTTACTCTATCTTGTGGCTGGGTTTTTCCCCCGCATGGCTGAATTCATGTATTTTGACAATTTTGAGATCTCCACTGATTGCAAATCTCATTTTTTCTTCTGGGAAATTGGCAGGAGAAGTGGAGTAGAAGGTAGGGTGGAAGGAAATAATTCGAGAAGTAAGTCTATTGTGTATTCTCTATCCCCAAAATGTATCTACAGCTTACTTGAGTACATCCACTGTGGGCAAAAAGACTAGAAAGATACATACTGACTGTTAACTGTTAAATCCTGTTAAATCCTATTTTACTTGGGATGGTAAAATAATGGGTGATTTTTATTTCCTTCCTTGAACTTTTCTATATTTCCCATATTTTCTGTGACACATGCATGCCATTATTGTCATCAGAAAATGCTTTTTAAATGTTCTTTTGAATTTGAGGAGGAAACCAGGAGGTTCCCAAACCCAGCTCATTACGTGAATCTAGAATTAGAACTGTGTTTAAAGAAAACAGTGATCATCTTTTAAATATCAATGTTTAAATGAACATATTGAATGTTAAAATGAATATGGGAAAACACACATCTCATAAGCATGTGCTGGTTGGGGGAAATGGTATAATAGCTTTGGCAGAATCATGAAAATTTTTGAATGTGACCCATAAAATCCACTTCTAAATATCTACCCTAAAGAAACACATATGTGTATAAGGAGGCAAGTGAAAGAAAGTTCAGCAGGCATGGTTTCTAAATGGGGGTAAGCTAGCAACAAGTGTCCATGGGCTGGTGGCGGGGTGGGGGTGGGGGGGAGGTGGCTGTGTGGTCTGCCATATGCAATAATGGAGAATGAAGCCACTAAAAAGAACAGCAGAGACAGATCTCCAGGACATAGTGTTGGGTGAAAAAAAGCAAGTTGCCCAAAGACATCCACACAGTATAAGATATTGTTTATATAGAAAACTAAAACACAGACTTATACTGTGTGTATTTTATGGGGACATATGTATACTTGTACATGCATTGAAAAGGCTCAAAGCAGCCTTTATAACTGAGAAAGTGGAAGGGCATTAGTAGGTAGTCAAAAAAGTATTTAACATTTGAGTAATGTTTCCTTTTTGTACAAGAAGTTAACCATTGCTAATTTATGGCTCCTGTAGCTTAAAATTAATTTAAAAAACCCTCCTCATTCAAGAGAAAAATGGCAACTTTATGGTGGAGAAATCTGGCAAACACCAGTAGTAGCTTCACCACATGATCAAGAGCAACACCCGCAGGCATTGCCATGCCGACAGCGTCTGCTGTACTGTGGTGAGAAGGGTGCTTCCCCTCTGGATCATCTTCCTCCAGATCTATAATCTCCACGCAACCAGACAAACTCAAGTTAGGGAACAGTCTGCAGGCCACCTGGACAGTATCCTGAAGGTCAGCATCCTGTTAACAGGGAAAATCTGAGAAAACCTCAAGAGCTCTGAGGAGCCTGGGCCAACGTGGCGATTCGGTGCGATGTGGCCACCTTGCCAGCGTCCCAGAGCACTGAGAACACATTAATAGAAAACCAGTGCATTCCAGGTAAAGTGTAGTTTACTTAACAGTAATGAACCAATGTTGGTGACAAATGTGCCATAGTAATATCAAAGGTTAATAACAGGAGAGACCTGGTAAGGGATACCTGAGAATGCTGTACTATATTTGCCAACTTTTCTGCAAATCTAAAACTATTCCAAAAGAAAACATTTATCTTTTTTTTTTTTTTAACTCCCTCAGGAGAGGTTACTGGAGAACAGTATTCACTGAGAATTCATCAGGAACTGTTCTGGAGTTTGCTACAATTACTACTTACATTCTCTCAGAGCTGTCAGAATAGACAGTCCTATGAAGTTTGGGTTCTTCCATGCAGAAGGCTCTTCTTCAGAAAGTCATTTTTCCTGGGGAATTGGTTATGACCTGCCAACTTCAGAATCACGATGCTGACCACAACACAGATGCTAAAATTCATACTTGACTGCTACATACTTGCAAAAGAGTAATAGAGCTTCAAAATTTATACCCACATTCCTGTGGCTCCTCCCTGCTGCTACCTGTTTACTCACTCCCAGTCTCATCTGACTGGTATTTTATATTCAGAATGGCAACATGCTACACACCCCCTACCCTGGTGCCCTGATAATGTATAGAGACTATTAACCAAAGCAGAAATGCTTAAAGAGGTCACAAATGACACCCATAGGAAAATATAAAGAAAAGTATATTGGTTGTTGCCTCTGAATTTCCTTTCTTACATCATCCTGTGTTACTTTCTTTTTTAAAAAAAAGATTTATTGTGTTTATTTATGCATACAAGAGCTAGGGTGTAAGCCAGAGGTACAGAGGGATAAGACGATTCACCAGAGACAGAGTGGGGAGCAGAACAGGCAGATTGACTGAAATGCACTGCTGAGGGGAGTAGTGGGTGAGACAGGAGAGGTCTGTTGCACCATGTGGGGCAGCTCCCTGCCCGGGGATTGAACTCATTAAACTCAGTGGCTGTCGATAGCTTCATAGTGCTTAGATTTTTTTTATTTTATTTTATTTTATTTTATTTTATTTTAAATAAATTTTATTTTTATATTCCCCATACAATTGCAACCCCCTTATTTTGACTTCAATCCCTCCCCTCCCCACTCCCCACCCCCCATAGAGTGTCTCTGGTTCATAGTTGTTTGTTGATTTTGATTTTCACTTTCTTATAGTTATTCATTTTCCTGGTCCCTTATTTAAGTTTTCTAGATTCCTGCTATGAGTGAGACCATCCGGTATTTTTCTTTTTCTTTCTGACTTATTTCGCTGAGCATGATCCCTTCCAGTGCCATCCATGTTGCTGCAAATTGCATGTGTTTATCTTTTTTGAATGCTGAGTAATATTCCATGGTGTATATGTACCACATCTTCTTGATCCAGTCATCTATTTTTGGGCATTTGGGTTGGTTCCAAAGCTTAGCTATTGTAAACAGTGCTGCTATAAACATAGGGGTGCAGGTGCTCTTTGGAATTGATGTTTCTGTGTCCTTTGGGTAAATATGTAGGAGTGGAATTGATTAATCATATGGAAGCTCTATGTTTAGTAGGTCCAGAAATCTCCACACAGCTCTCCATAGTGGTTGGACCAGTTTGCACTCCCACCAATAGGAGAGTTCCTTTTTCTCCACATCCTCGACAACATTTGTTGTTGCTGGTTTTTTTAATATGTGCCATTCTCACTGGTGTAAGATGGTATCTCAAGGTAGTTTTGATTTGCATTTCCCCGATTACAAGTGCTTAGATTTAACCTCTTGTGCCACCAGGGAGCGCCCCCCCAACTCCGTGTTATTTTCTGTTCCCTATTTGGAAGGTTTTCTCCAGCCTGTTGGTACAGACTCCTTTCCATTCATCAAATTTCAGCTCAGATGCCCCCATCTCTCCCTCAGAGGGTTCTCCTCTATACCCCTTTGCTCTTTACTCTGAGATCTTATTCACGGCACCCACAAGTTAAAGATGCAGATTTGCTTCTTTCATCACTTTTTAATTGGTGTTTCATTCCCCAGCCCAACACAAGTCCTGGCACAAAGGCATCATCCATATAAAAATCACTGAATGAATGAATACATGGAAAACTGAAAAACTTGCATAGCCTAACAGGTAGGCTGCCCGAGTTATATGTCTTCTCTCATGCTTTGCCTCTAGAATCTATAGGCATTCTAAGTCTCTTTAAGGCAAATATACAGTAAATCAACTTAAAAAATACAGCGTTCACATCTTTCTTTCTTTGGTCAAATCCAAGAACATTTACAGGTCAGTGAAGAGAAAAGGAAGTGGTTTTCTGCCCCACCCCACCTCACCCCACCCCCTCTCTCTTCTCTCTCTCTCTCTCTCTCTCTCTCTCTCTCTCTCTCTCTCTCTCTCTCACACACACACACACACACACACACACTCACACACAAAGAGCCAAGGCTGTTCACAGGCTTTGCCCACATCTTATCTTTTAACACCTGAAAATTCTGTGAATCTGTTCGCCTCAAGGGAAGTGACGTTATTCCTCCTCTCTCCACCAGGCTTCTCCATCCCATGCCCTCATTTCCCCCCATGCTCATCTGCTTGTCAAATTACTCTTTATATCTTCCATCTCTTCTCCAATGCTCTTTCCCCTCAGACTACAAGCACATTTCAGTCTTCCTGTCTTAAATAAGCCAAGGAAGGAAAACTCTTCTCCTGGAGCAATAAGTAATAGACTATAACTTCAAAAATGTTACCGTTGTAAAGACAAACAGCCATTAATTTTGTGTAGAAACTTCCCTTCAGTGTCGAACTTCATGCTTTTGCCATGTAGCAGCCACTTGACTGTCCCCCATCTCTCCCTCTTTTAATCTAATTAACACCTTACTGCCACATTAATCTTCACAGAAAATACAACATGGAAACAACACTTCTCATATAGAATAAAGCACTGATTCCTTAGTTTGGAACTTACCTTCTACACACCCCACCCTACAAAAAAACTATCTCTTCCCTATTTCCATATGAATCTTCCACTCAACCCACTGGACTTTGAACACAAAATACAGTTCCTCCACACGGCTGTTCATGCTTCCTCCCTCGTTCAAGAGATTTTCCCTATAGAAGCAGCCCTGGGAGCTCTTCCCCACCAAACACTCCGAATGTTTAACAACTGACTGACACAAGAGGTGTTTAGCACTAGACTATGTGCTTTGTATTAATATGTATCCTTTTAAGTACATGTCCTGCAGCAGCAATATCTTATATTACACCTTTTTATACTCCCCCTTTAATTTGCATTTAATCCTTTAAATAATGAAACAAATTTGGCTAGATAAAAGAGTGGCGTGGGGGGCTCTGAAAGACTATCAGTTAAATTTCTAAGAGTGGTGGTGAATTGAACAGAAAGGCATATTGGTTATTTCTTCCTTTTGTACCTGGTAGAGCTTGATGTTGTTATAAATATCCTCCCAGATTTGATCATAGTTGCACTGGTGCAAAACTTGGGAAGCCATGAAAGCTGGATGAGAGGGAGCCAGCGTGACTGTCTTTGCAGCATGATCTTGGAGTACTTGCATTACTCGCTCAGGCTTGGAAATCTTGAGTAGAAAAGAGAGAAGGATTGGTTGGGAGAAGGGTTATTCCCTTCATCTCAGCAAGAATTTGATCAGATACAATTGACTAATAAAGAAATTCTAGGTGGGGACTCACCAATTAAAAAATATAAAAACCTCAAATATCATGATTCCCATAGGTATATACATCCATCCAAACTCTAAGTATTCAAAGAAACAGAATTTCACTTAAAAATCTATAATGACACCCTAAATACAATAGCAGGTGGTATCCCCCCAAGGGTGGCACTAATGGAAAAATCAACATCCATCAGTTTGGGGCACAAACGGTTTGCTGTTAGGAAGCTCCCAGGAGATGGAGAAGGCAGCTGTGTACTTGAGGGAAGCACAAACTTTGCAAGGACGCAGACCTAGACTCCTATCCTTGCCGAATCTGGGTTTTTCCATGCAGAGCAGAACAAGTCTACCTGACAAGAATACTAATGATGTCTCTTTCAGGACTGCTACAAAAAATGCCATGCAACACGTGCTGAATAAATGTTTCTTCTTCATTTCTGAAGGTTAAGACTAGAACAATAGTCCGAGTTAAACTACTTTAGTGTTACAAATATTGCTCTATTTCAGTTATTTTAGTGTTACAAGGAACCTCAAAGATCATTTAGCCTAAACTCTATCAAAATCTCAATGGCACTTTTTGTAGAAGTAGAAAAATTCATCCTAAAATTCATATGGATTCTCTAAGGATCCTAAGAAGTCAAAACAATCTTGAAAATGAAGAAAAAATTAGAGGATTCACACGTCCTGATTTCAAAACATATTATAAAGTTACAGCAATCCAAGCAGTGTGGTTCTAGCATATGTTTGCTATGTAGACCAATGGAATGGAATAAACCTAGAAATAAACCCTTGAGTATATGGCCAAATGATCTTAAATAAGGAGTCAACACTACTCAATGTTAAAAGGATAGCCTCTTCAACAAATGATGCTAGGAAAACTGAATATTCACATAAGATAAGTTGGATCCTTATCTTAGACTATATAACAAAACTAACTCAAAGTAGATTAAATATATAAACATAAGACTTCATGCTCTAAAATTCTTATATGTCTTGAAGTAAGCAATGATTTCTTGGATATGACTCAAAATGCACACAAAAAAAGCAAAAACAGACAAATCTGACTACATCAAACTTAAGACTTCTGTATATCAAAGGACACAACCAATTCAATGAAAATCAAGTGACAGAATGGGAGAAAATATTTGTGAATCATATATCTGATAAAGGGTTAATATCTAGAATGTATAACATCTAGAATGTAATATCCAGAATGAAAGAACCCCAACAGCAAAAAAAAAAAAAAATCAAACAATGATTTTAATAACTGGCATAGAACTTCAATTGACATTTCTACAAATACGATATATAAATGACCAGCAAATATATGAAAAGATGCTCAGAAAAACTACTCATCAGAGAAATGCAAAGCAAACCATAATAAGATATCATTTCAAACTGACTGGAATTGCTAATCTAAAAAAGAAAAGGAAAGGAAAAAACTAGCAGGTTTTAGTGAGGATATCGAGAAATAGAAACCCTTATGTCCGATTGGTGGAATTGTAAAATGGTACAACTGCTATGAAAACTATTATAGAGTTTCCTAAAAAAAAATTAAAAACAGACTTAAATTATTTTGCAGTGATTCTAGTTCTGGGTATATATCCAAAAGAATTGAAATTAGGATCTCAGAGATATAAGGTAAAAGCAACCCAAAAATCCATCAATAAATGAATAGATTAACAAAGAGTGGAGGACACATATAAGGGACTATTATTCAGCCTTATAAAGGCTGCAATGTGAATTAATCTTGAGAACATTATGGTGGGTGAAATAAGCCCACCTTGAGTACTCAAATTTATAGAGATAGGAAGCAGAATAGTGGTTGACAGCGGTTTGAGGGAGAGAGAAACGAGGAGATATTGGCTCATGGGTATAGAGTTCCAGTATGCCAGGTGAGAGGAGTTCTGAACAAGAAATGTGGTGATGATGGCACAACAATAAGCAGGGACTTGATACCACTGAGCTGCACAATTAGAAATGGTTAACAGGTAAATTTCATGTCATGTGTATCTTGCCATAATATAAGAAAAGAGGGGGAAATAATACAGAGAGATCCTTTGTGCCCTTCATAGGACATTTTGCAAAACTATAGCACAACATCACAACCTGGATACTGACAGCAACCCAGTCAAGACACAGAACATTTCCATCACAGTGTTCATGCTCTCATGTTGCTCTTTTATTTCTACACTCCTTTCCTTTCCCCACCAGTATCTCCTTAGTTTTTAGAACCCATGAATCTGTTTTCCATTTCTAGAGTATTGTATAAATATATTTATACAATTTTAATGGGATTGGCTCTTTTAACTCTTAGTTCTCTGAAGATTCTTCCAGGTTGTTTGGCATATCATAAGTGCGTTTTTTTTTTTTTGTTTTTTTGTTTTTTTGTGGGACCCTTGCCGGCGGCGGGGGAATGAACCGGTGCTGCAGAGGCTGCGGGCAGCCTCGCAGCCTAGCGCTCAACCACTGTGCCACCAGGGGAGGCTGAGTGTGTTCTTTTTTACAGCTGAATGCTATTCCTCAGTATCAATGTACCCCAGTTAGGTTAACTACTTAATCACCCACTGAAGGACATCCTGGTTGTTTCCTGTTTGGGACTATTGTGAATAAATATGATACAAATATATATGTCCCATAACATGGACAAGCCTCGAGGATATAATGCTAATTAAATAAACCAGTTACAAAAAGACCATTTACTTATATGAGGTCTATAAGAGTAGTCAAATTTCTAGAAACAGAAAGTTGAATGGTGGGTGCTAGAGGTTGGGGGTAGAGAGAGGAGGAAGCACGGAGTTGTTGTTTAGTAGTTTCAGTTTTGTAAAGTGAAAACGTTCCAGAGATCTACTTTACAACAGTGTGAATATATTGAATGATACTGATCTGAACACTTAAAAGCAGTTAAGATTATAAATTGTATGCTGTGAGTTTATTTTTAACCACAATAAAAATAAGATAGAGTCCAATGTTTTTGTCTCACAGATGAGGACACTAAATTTTAAGGTTATGTGACTAGAATGATTATCACATAGAGATTTAATGCTCAAGCTGAACTAAATTCAGCTCTTTTGGCAATTGTTACTCTTTTGAAAGCAAACAGAATTATTAAAGTTTAATAATTAGGTTACTAATTTCTAAGTAAGGGCTGCAGAAAAGTGAATTTTCTACACTTGATCTTAGCCAAAAGGCCGAGAAGCGATAGAAAAGTGAATTTTCTGAGAAGGATTTTGCAAGAATTTTATCTACAAAGGAACATAGTTATTTTCTTACCTTCAAAAACTTAGCTTGAAGTTGCATTAATGCATCTATTCTCCTCTGTTCTTTTAGTTTGGTCAAAAGCTTTTTTTGCCAAGGATCACATTTGGGCTTAATCTGGTGGACAAACACTCACAAAAAGTTATAATAGAACAGAATGGTTCTCAATAAAAGTTATAAGTTATGTGATTCAAGGACCTTCCGATATGGGATCTGGCCTCCATGCTAGAGAATTCGCTAGAACATGTGACGTCTTGGAAAGGCTTCAGCATGGGTTCACAGATGCATGGAGGGAGTTCCTGCCAGGGCCTACCCTGTGAGATGCAGTAGCTTCATCCGGGATGACGCAGCCCCGTTGACAAGGTATATTTCAAAATTAGTTCTATAGCTGTATAGACACCAACATACTAATAACTCTCAGACTTTTATTTCAGGTCTAAGCTCCAGTCTGTTATATCCAACTACTCCTTGAGAGTTATACTTGGATGGCAAGTGCAACAATGGTAAACAAAGTCTGGTGTCCCTTATTCCCACCACCTATTTGCCCAAACTCTAGTTGGCTGACGGCCCTCCTTTCCCTCTGTCCATCTTTCACACACAAGACATAGAACAGCTAATCCTCATTGTTCATGGATTTCATGATTTGCAATTTTGCCTAATCACTAACATTTCTTTGTAACCCCAAAAACAGTTTTGGTGATGCCTTCCTGGCCATTCACAGACATATACAGAACAGTAAAAATAGTCCACATTCCCAGCTGAGGTCAACAGGGTGACAGGCAGTCACCTTTGAGCATTATTCTTTTTTTTTTCTCATCAAATAGCCAAGATCACTAATAACGTGAAGGGCATTTTGACCCAATAGAGAGGGGTGCAAGAGTATGGGGAACTTCAGAGAAGGCAGTCAGTATGGTCAACTTCCTGGGCTCAAGGCAGGAAGGAGCTGGGAAACCCTGAAGCATGAGGCCAGGTTCTCTGCCCTGACTTTTCTGAGAGCAGCAGTTACCAGTGCATGGTCGCAGAGGGTAGTTTGCTGAAGGCATGGAGGTGAGAGGACAAAAGGGACCTGGCGGAGCTAGTATTGCCAGGTTGCCCTGCCTGCTTGGAGGAGAATGTGTGACATCCTTCTGGCATCACTGTCAGGCAGCTGTCCTCACAGGTCTCCTACCTTTATAAATGAAATCCAGTTGGCTTTCTTTTTCAAGGCCATACAAGATGCTGCCAAGCCCCAATTTGCTGCTTTAGCTACCCCAGCATCATAGTCTGGAAATGTTTGCATTCTCTGTTGCTCCATGAAGATGCTTTGAAATTTTTGGGAGACCTAAACAGAATTAAAAAGAGAAGTGTAGCCCAAAAAGAAAGTCTTATGTCATAGGCAATTTCAAAAGCAGCCTTTGAAATACTCTTCGATTCAAACTAATGCATGAAACCTGTCTCTGTGATAGTAGCAGGACCTTAAATGTATATACCTGTTAGGCACACGTGCTCAGCTTATTACCACACTCTGTGTGTGTGTGTGTGTATGTATGTATATGTACATGCACATGTGTTACATGTTCCAATCTCTCCAAAGATTGGCGATACATGTAATATGTTCATTTATATGTATTTTGACTTGGATCCTAAATGGGAAGTAAGCTGGCTGCCTTTAGAAATGCATTCACTTTTTCTGGCCACCTTGTAAACTGTGTATCTAAGTATTAGATAAACCCTGCTCCCAGCAGTCTGACCAAAATGTTGCTGGCGAGAAGGATCCAGATGCTAGGACCTGTTAAAACCCTCTATGTAATTCGTCAATCCTGTCACGTCTCATTTCAGACTGAGGCTACCAGTGATTTCTCTGACTTAATTTCCTACTGCCAAAAATGAAAAATAAAAAATGCTGAGCCCTTCCCCCTTTGTTCTCCAGAGCCCACCCGTGCCTACTGAGTCTGGGGAGAACCATCATCATTATACTGGCCACAATGAGTCATGATTTCCTCACTACTTGCCAAGCCTCTTAAAGGCACAGATTATGGATCTCAAGAATCTACCACATAGTGATGGGTGCACAACGGAGTGAATGTAATTCATACAAGTGAATGGTCTTGAATTATATACTTAGCAGTGATTAAATCATAAATCTTAAATCATAAATCTTATGTTACATATATTCTATTACACACACACACACACACACACACACAAACCCCACCACCACCGCAGTGCCGGCATACACAAGGACCTCAACAAAAGTTTCTGGAAGGAATGAACGAGTTCGTGAATCTCATGGCTTGATTCTCTGAGTGAATGTTTGTACTTTCCAGGCTGTACTTTCTATGACTGTTGCCCATGTGGTTCTTAAACATTTAAATATAAATTAGCTAAACTAAGCAAAGTTTCAGATTGAGTTCTTCAGTTACACCAGCCACTTTTCAAGTACTCAACAGCCTCCTGTAACTAGTGGTTGACAGCAGGGCAGCACTGATACAGATCAGATCCTCCAGGGCAGGAAGTTAGGTGAGAGTATTCCCCTCAGGGTGAGGTGGCCCCTCAGAGTGGGGTGGTTCACTGCTTCTCCCAGGGTCAGATAGTGATTTGGCCTCTGCAGACCAGATGGTCTCTGCTGCCACCTCTTAAGGTGGTGGTTGTAGTGGGACAGAAGCCATAGATAACACATAAATGAATGTCATGGTTGTGTTCCCATAACACTTTAAAAGAAAAATACAGATGATGGGCTGCTGAATGCAGTTTGCAGACACTACTCTAGGGCATTAGAGAACCAGAATAAATAGTACTCCTATATAGGAACTCTTCCAACAATAGGAACTCTTCCTACATAAAAAATGGTTGTAATGTGATTGATTTTCTTGGGGGCACAATTAGCATGGTGCATAGTACTGTTATAAGAAAATCAAAAGTGCAAGTTTTCTCATTGTAAAGATAAGCTGTTCTTCGGGAAGAAGGCTGCTCTGTGAGAGTAGACAGTCACATGTTCTCTGCTTATCACTGAGTGTCTACTGCATCGTAATTTATTTTTTATTTTTCTTGACACAATTAAACATCATCTGACTGTTTTTTGACAATCATGACACTTGGTGATAATGAGGGTTATTGATACTTGCTTAGAAGAATTCTGCCACAAGTAGTGGTGCTAGTGATAGGGAAAGACAGGCAAAGAGTAAACGCAATCCTCTTCAGAGAAACCAGAGGACACAGGATACCATCACTCCAGTGACCTCAAAAGCCTGTGCTATATAGTACAATAGTAGAGATAATTCTGGTAAAAGAATGCTGGAATAAATACTCCTGCCAGTAAAACCTCAAGGTCAAGGCAAATGGTGATAAAGCAGGCAGACTCCTCCTTTCATGAAGTGTATTCAGAAATATTCAAATTTTATTTTTCCTTGTTTGGGTCAGTCTGTTAATTGCTTTGACCCAGTGAGAATATGTGCTTGCAGATATTATATACTCAGAGCTAGAAATTTTTCTTTATTGTTCTAAGTCTGGCTAAGAACTTTGCTCTAATAAATCTAAAGTTCTCTACCCATGATCCTCTTCTTCCCTTTGAAACATGTTTTATCAGGATTTCTGATAATAGGAGTTATTTTTTAGGAAGCGCATCACTGTGTTACAAGAGCAAACTTCACTACACAGTATACACTGTGATGAATAAAAAGCATCTTGCCGATAGGAGAGACATTGCAACCCTTTCTGAGAATCGAATAGCTTTAGACACTCGAAAACTCTAGCACACAAATTTGCCAAATCTTGGTGTAGGGTAAAGAAAATATCAGGCTTTTCTGCCCTTCTGCCATCAGGATAGATGATGGATCCTTGTCCTGAATGCATGCCTGATGGCGGGCACCTGGACTAGGGTGTGGGCATAGGTAGATGGGATTCACCTGGGCTAAGACTGTGCTTTTAAGGGCGGCGTCACGGGGACGCTAGCAGCAGCAGTAGAAGCCGAAGCAGAACCCGAAAGAGAAGCCGAGAAGCAGCAGAACGAACGCTAGAGAGCCCAGATAGAGTGAAGACTTGCTGGGGGCTGCACCAGCCAACACCCCTGCCTGCCATATGCCTGGTGAACCCCAATAAAAAACCTGCAAAACTACTGAGGACTCTGACTCCTCCTTTACCCGGTCTGCATGGGATCAGAAAACCTGTACTGTGTCCATTCCTGCCCCTTACACTTGGCTACATTTACATCAGTTATTATGGACTACAACCGATATTTTTTCATAAATTCTGAAAGGAAATAAAAGCCTACAACCCCTCAGGGCTGGATATTCAGGAGTCCCATTACTCACATAGAGAGGAAGTTCAACTGCTAATCTAAATCTTACCAATTACTATGCTATTTATCTTCTAAAACAATTGTGGCAGTATAGATCTCCAACTTTGGGGCAAATGATGAGGTTTTCTTTTATGAACACCTCTATGTATATGTATTAAGAAAGAGTCCATCAAGTACCAAGGAAAAAAGTTCCATTTCCTTAGCGGCACCCACTAGCTCCTCCACGTCATACGGGATATTGAAATGGGAGAGCAGGCGCCTCAGCTGAGGTTTCAGGTCTTCTGTTTCTGTCGTGTGTTGGGGTAGGACAAAAGGAGCTTCTGTTCTCATCGACCCTGAAAAAAGTTCAAGTCAGGAGTATTAAGATCATTGCACACCAGCTGGGGGAGGAAAGGAACAGTCCTTGAGATAACTGGAGGCAGGGCCTCCTCTGTTGGCAAGGAGGTAAGTCTGTTCCTGACCCAACCTTCTTGGCCACAATTTATGGACTGCACCTCACTTGGCCTTAGACATCACCTTAAACATCCCTCACCACCCCTATCTGACGATTCCTTGATGTTGGTTTTCTGGGAGAGGAGCAAGAACCCCTTAGCTTCTCACAGCCTGCAAGAGAAAATCAACAGACCCTTTAGGGACTGACTTAGTGGGAGCAGAGCTATTTATAGTCTTTCGTGGTAAACAAAGAAAATGACATAATCAGCTAATCAGAACAGCTGAATGCTTTCTCCTGGCTCACTCCTACACATCATTAAGGACCCAGTTTAGACGCCCTCTCTTCTGTGGTGGGTTTGCTGCCTCCCCAGATGCACCCTGCCTGGACCCCACGTAAATATGTCACGCAGAGTGAAACGCTGATCAGGTTTCTTAATCATCTGTAACTAAGGGCAGGAAGACTGTCATATTGATTCAGGTAAGGGAAGTCTTCTTAAATCATGTGATGTTAAAACTGGAAGGACCTTAGTCATTTAATATGAAAGGCTTGGGTCTCCCTTGGCGGTGCAGCGGTTGAGCGCCGGTTCAATCCCCGGCCACCGGAGAGGGTCCCACATGGCGCGACAGCCCTCTCCTGCCACGCCTGCTGCTCCCCTCAGCAGTGTATTTCGTCACTCAGTCTGTTCTGCTCCCCGCTCTGGCTCTGGTGAATTCTCTCACCCTCCCGCGCTTCTGACTATACCCAGTGCTTGTATAAATAAATAAATAAATAAATCTTTTTTTAAAAAAATGAAAGGCTTATTTTGGAGATGAGTAAACAGAACCAAGAAGAGGAACAGCACAGTGAGGCTATGACAGGAGCAGGTCGAGAACTCAGTACATCCAAACTCAAGCTGAGTAAATGATTTTCAGGCTTTTCTACTCTCACGCCATTAGGATTGATGATGGATCCCTGAGGTGCTGAATGCATGCCTGATGGTGGACACCTGGAGTAGGGTATGGGCACGCGTAAGTGGGTACGCCTGGGCTGAGACTGGGCTTATGAGGGTGACGTCACGGGGACGCCAGAAGAGCAGAGAGGAGAAGAAGAGAGAACCAAGAGAGGAGCAGAGAAAAAGGCTGTGATAGAAGGCCGGAGAGCTCAGACAGAGTGAAGACTGGCCGGGGGCTGGGAGGCCTGCCAGCCTACCAGCCTCCCCCCCGCCGGGCCTCTGCCTGCCGTGAACCTGGTAAATCTCAATAAAAGTCTGCAAAAGCCACTGAGGGCTCCAGGACTTCCCCTTAACCCCATCTGCTCGGATCATAGAGAAACTGCTCTGTGTCCTCCTGCCACTACAAAGTTCATTGATTTTTTTCTTGTCTCTTAATTTTCCAGTTATAACAATAGAGAGAACAATTTCTAAGAGAAGTATTTGTTGTTGTTTTTCCATCATAAAATATTAACTTTTGGTTATTTAAGAGATTTGACATTTTGGTGTTTAAAAAATTTCAAGCAAGATCATGTGACAAGACAGTACATGTACAAATCACAATTTTCTTTTCTCCATGTCATCACAGGAGAATGAAGACTAATTTCTTACCTGAAATGCTGGCATCTGTAGGGCCTGGAGATGCAGAACCCTGTATGTCAGGGTCAGTATCTCCAACACAGAACTTCTCATTTTTCTGACTAACCTCAAGGACTTCATCGACAGTAACCCTCAGCACTTTGGAAATAGGCAGATACTGGAGTGCCTGAGGAAGGAAACATTCAAAAGGTGTCTGTCAACTCAATTCTTATAGAAGTTTCCACACATAAATTCTGGGAGAAGTCTTTGCTTTGATAGAGAAGGAAAGAGATAGATGTTGGTCTCAGGAGTGTGCCAGATAATCAGAAGCTAAATCTGCAGCTGGAAGACCTGGTACTGTCACCACTTCTAAGTGACCTTCACCTTGGACCAGATGTACACTGATCAAGCACCCATAATGGACAAGATACTGTGAGAGGTGCTAGGGATGCAAAGAAGTGCAAGCCATGTACCAACCTCAGAGTTCACAGGTTAGCAGAGAAGCCAGAATAATGAGCAGACTGTTATGTGACTGGGAAGCACAGTATTAGAGGTGCACCCCATTTTCACAGACTAGGGAAGAGATGAAATAAAAATGACAGGCAGGTTTCTGGTTTGGCTCACTCCATAGATGGAGCTACCATCCACTCTGTGGGTGGTGTTGTCACTGAGATAGGAGTAAAGGAGTAGGAACAGATTTAGGTGGCAAAACCACAATCTTTCTAAAATGGAAATGTGATCCTGTCTCCCCTTTCTGGTGTCTCTAGCCTGGGTTAAGGCCACTCCTCTGTGACTCTTTGCCTGTACTTACACTTAATCTGTTCTTCTTATCACATTGTATTTCAGTTTCAAAGGGACTATTGTTTTGCCCCCTTTCCTTCTAGCTTGGGGCCTAGTTACTATTCAGCAAAGACCAGACCTTTTGCTGCAAGTTGGCCCAGAACACACCTGGCATATATCAGACCCTCAAGAGATACTGTGAAATAAAAAGTAGATCTATATCTGAACATGATAATGAAATCAAGAACTTAGAGTGATTTGAAATAGCACAGAAGCAACTTTCCAAATGCTAACTTAATGAAGTGATTGATTAGAGCAAAGTTCCAAAAGAAAACAGTGAATGTTATTTTCCTGTCATTTGTGGGGCAGGTAGAATACAGAAACTTGACAATCTAAAACTGGGCAACAGTGTGAGAAAACAACATGTTGACCATTGGGGAGGACACTGTGTTTCAAGTAACATGCTTCACATACCTGCAGATAGTGGTGAATAGTCCTGAGTGAGTGCAGGTGACACACTAGCCATTTTGTGTAAATGGTCAGGTCTTCCTGTGTCACTAAATTAGGAGGATTGTTTTTTCCCATAAGGAAGTTTTCTCGAGCAACAGACAATCTTTCAGCTCTTTGAAGGGCATCATTGTATTCCTGCATAATGTAGGCAACTTGTTTCTATTGAAGAGAGATGCAAAGACAGAACTTGGCTATTTGCAAGTCTTATTATCTTACTCATTTGTTGCCAAGCATAGAGAGGAATGCTGTTTGGAGGCCAAATAAAGGGCTCTTGGAATATCAGAATTCTCACATATTCTGAATTCGACTTACAAGGGCAGTGACCAGCAAAGTCAGCGCATAAGGATATTTGGTAACTGGAGTCAGTGTCTTAGCTTGTTACCTACAGCAAAGGAGGCCATATCTATGAAGAAAAGTGCATTTTCTATCACACAAACCTTCCTCAAATCCCATTCTTAAAAATAGGTACCCTTATCTTCTGTCACAAGCACGACAGGCAAGTGGGTTAGTTCCTGTTAGTTCCTTTGCCATCTTTAGCTGTGACTTAAAATTTTTTGTCAAGCTATATACTGTTGGTGGGAATATAAATTGATGGAGCCATTATGGAAAACAGTACAGAGATTCATCCCAAAATTAAAAATAAAACTACCATATGATCCAGCATTCCACTTCTGGGGAAATGAAATCAGTATCTTGAAAAGATATCTGTATTCCTATATATATTATAACATTTACTTACAGTCAAGAAAACAACCTAAGAGTCTGTTGATGGATGAATGGATAAAGAACATGAATTAGATAGACAAATAGATGATAGGTAGGTAGGTAGACAGACAGACATAGAAATAGATATCTTACCTGATACATATATACATGTATATATATATATATATATATACACACACATAGATGTGGATATACAGAAATACCAATAATACATACAAATGGAATATGATTCATCCATGAGAAAGAAAATTCTTACATCTGCAACAACATGGATGAATCTTGAGAACATTTTGCCAAGTGAACTATGCCAGATAGAGAAAGACAAACACTGGCTGATCTCATGATATCACTTACATGTGGAATCATAAAAAGCCCAAGTCATAAAAGGAGAACAGAGAATGGTGGTTACCAGGGGACTTTGGGGAGGAGGTGGGGAGATATTGGTCAAGGGGTACAAATTTGCACTTAAGTAGGATGAATAAGTCTAGATATCTAATGTACAGGCATGATGTCTATAGTAATATATAGACAAACTTATCAGTCATTTTGACTCATTATAAAAAATAGACCACGGTTTATGTTTATGGGTTTCCTACCTTGTAAAGAGGATAAAGTTGCTCCATGATCTTACTGTGCTGGCAAAATCTCTTCCACCTAAGCATGTGTAAATATTTACTCTGGGCCAGCTGGGTAATTCTCTCTGTATAATACTTTAACAACAACAGCAATAATAATTAACAGTTAGAAGAGAACTATGATGGAAAGTTTGAATTCAGTCTTAAGAACACTAACAACAGGGAAATCAGTATCTGGTTGTTGGAAAAGTATATTTTTTCTATATGAAAACTATAAAATTAAGAAACCTGCTCAATATATCACTCAAATTTAAATGAAGAAAGTAAGCATTTCTAAATCTATATAATCTGTTGCCAACCGAACAGATTGGAGTCTAAAATATAAAGCACATTACAGGCAAGACATTCTATTTATACTTCAAAATAGTTAAATAATCCAACTTTTAAAATATTTTATTTCTGATGCTAGGGCTAATACTGGCTATGATGGAATAGGTAGGACCAGACTTATCCTTCCATGAAAAACAACAGAAAACAGAACAAAATACACAAAGCAAATGTTTTTTGATATGGGACAACAGGCAGTGTAGGACTGTGGTTCTTGGGAAAAGGGAAACTCATGAAATGAGCCCAATAATCACCCTGGTTTTCTGCCTAACCAAGGCAGTTTCTGAATCATGGTGTGGGAAGTAGAATCCTAACCAAAGAATGATGGTCTCTCTCTGTTAAGGAGAGAGAAATTGAAGTTTGGAAAGCTATTCAGCTGGAGTTTGCAGGGCAGAGCATTGGAGGAGAGGAGGTTATGCAGGGAAAGGGCTCCAGAAACCTGCACAGGGGTCCCTTGAATGTCTTGCAGAGTGCTAAGTCATGCATGCAAAGGATGAAACTCCAGGAGCCTGTGCAAAGAGTCAACGACAAGAGAACTGTTAACTGAGCAGTTTTTGGAGTTCATGTAGGGCTAGGAAATGCTCTGATTCCAATCAGAGAGTGAAGAGTCCTGAGGCATTCAATGGAGACAACAGAGGGGTCACACTTTAGTAATAAGGATTTAGTAATAGAATAAAGGTCATCTTAAATGTGTTCTAACCAGGCTTAAAACCAAGTCTTGAAAGTATGAAGACAATATGCAGGTAAATTAATTGCTTACCAGAATGAAGTCTAACACTCTGTAAAGAAATAGAATTATGTAAAATTGACACTGTCTGGTACCCAAACAAGAAAAATAGTAGATATACAAAGAAACAGGAAAAGTGTAATCTATAAACAGGAGAAAATTAATGAAGAGAAACAGAAACAACAATGGTACCAGTGATGAAATTAGCAAACAACGACTTTATTTTTTAAATTGTACCTTTTTTTTTTTTTAAATTGAGGTAATGGAGGTTTATAACACCAGATATGAGTCAGAGCTACAGGTTCACACCTCTTCAGATGTGTTTCCACATGACTCCCACCAGCAAGTTACCCCTAGTCCTTAACCATAGTCCATTGGTTCTCCCTCATCCCTTTTCTCTGTACCCTACCCCTCTGGTAACCTCAATTCTGCAGCTATATTTCTAGAGTTTGTTTTGGGTTAGTTTTATCTGTTTGTTGTCAAACAAAGACTTTAAAAGAGCTAATATCATTATTAATATGCTCAGCTATTCAAGAATTGAAAGGCAATTGTGAATATATTGAGAGAAATGAAAACTATTAAAATAATGAAATAGAACATCTACAAATAAATGAGATGAAAAATTCACTGGAGGGACAGACAATACATAACAAAATGGTTTGCAAACCATTTTGTATACAAAATGGTTTATATATGTATACAAAATGAAATATTGAGAACAAAAGACAAAACAACAGACCCTCAGTCATTTATGAAACAATATGAATTTATTTAACATGTGTAACTGGAGTATCATAAGCAGAAATGAGAAGAAAGTATATTTGAAGGCATAATGGTGGAGATTTTTCAAAACTTGATGAAAATAATATCATAATCCAAAAGACCAACCAACTCCAAGCAAGAAAAACATGAAAAGTTCACCAAGGGATGTCATAATCAAGCAGCTTAGTAAAAAAATTGTAAAAGCAGCCAGAGGATGAAAGGATGTGTTGTGTTAAGGAATGGAAACTATACAAGCCAGAAGACAAGGGAGCAGCTTCTTTAAAGTGATAAAAGAAAAAAGTTATCAACTTGGATGCTGTACTGAACAAAGATATCTTTTCAAAATGAAGGCAAAAATATTTTTCAAAAAAAGAAAGACTGAAAGAATGTGTTCCTGGCAGATCTTTACTATGAGAAATGTTAGAGTTAAGTTCTTCATGCAGAAGATAAACATTATATGTGATGTTTATATGGTAAGACTTAGATTTCATCAAGGTTTCTCAACCTCAGGATTATTGACATTTGAGACTAGATAATGCCTGTGCATTGTAGGATATTAGCAGCATCCTCGGTTTCTATCCACTAGATACCAGTGGCAACCCCAAATTGTGACAACGAAAAATGTCTCCAGATACTGCCAAATGTCCCCAATCCCCACCCTTTGATTCTCTCTGATGACAAACACTGATCTACAGAGAAGTTAAAAGTACCAGAAATGGTAAGGAAAGAGTCCTGGATGAAGCCAACAGTTTGACTTACAAATAGAATCTCAACATCTTTTGTTTCATTGTGATTAACTTCTTAGTTAATATTAACTAATTTCTAAAGAACTAATTTGAATGCATAGCAAAGCTATAACAACACAAAGAGTAAAGAGCAAGGAATTTTAAAAGTCAAAACAGTAAGTGGTCATTTTGGAAAATCTAGAAAATACTTAAAAGAAGAGGAAATTAAGTATGCTGTCGTCCAAAGAAAGATTGTTACAAACATTTTAGTCTATGTCCTTCAAGTGATTTTCCTATGCATTATGTGACCACTATTATGATAGGCATACACAATGTTGTTAACTAATGTTACATAAAAACATAATTCCCTATTATGCCAAAAAAAGTTTAAACCAGAATAATATTCTACCAGGGACCAGTTTTTATTAACCCTTCTCCTATTGTTAGATATTTAGGTAATTCCAATTTTTTAATTTTTATTACTATGATGCAATAATGATCTTTATGCAAAATCTCTCTCCCTGTGTTTTGAATTATTTTCTTAAGAGAGTTCCAGAAATACCTTCTCTAAATCGGCCAACAGTTTTCTGAGGACAGAGACTTAGTGTTGCAATGACTCATCGCACCAGCACAGGGAGTAATTAGTAGAAACTTCAATTGGTTAGTGACTATAACTAAACTGAACTATCGTGTGGGTCTCTAACAAAGAATAGAATTTACCATACCAAATACTGCAAACTACATATGTAGAGAAAATCCCACTGTGGCCAGGGGATATACCAGAAAGCCAACTTCGTTCATATATTTCTATAATTTTCAAATCTACTTTTCAAATTTCAAAATGACCCTTACCTGCAACAGAAGCAAAGGTAAATTTTCAGGCGTGTACTCTCTTCTTAGGCAGCTCTCTAGCTCCCTCTGCATGACATCTGCTTGAACGACAAGGGGCTTTGGCTCAGCCACCTGAATCCGTGGGCAACCATGCAAAGGGAAATAAGGAAATAAAATCATCAGGGTTTATCACAGAAAATGCCATACACTTTATGTGAGTTTTTATACAACACATGGTGATGTTATGCCACACCTCCAAAATAACAAATTGAACATCACAAATCAAGAACTGTAAAATTGAAACCGTGAAAAAAAATCAGTTATCTCCAAGGAAGTTGTAACTCAGCACTAAGCTGACTGTTTGGTTATTTGTTCTCATAACCACTGTCAATAGCATCAGATGTTTGTTTGCAAGAATTAACATTTCTTGCCACACATTTCTTTTCTTTTTTTAAGATTTATTTATTTTATGCACACAAGAACTGGGGTACAGGCCAGAGGTATGGGGTGTGTGTGAGAGGATTTACCAGAGACAGAATGGGGAACAGAACAGGCAGATTGACTGAAATACACTGCTGAGGGGAGCAGCAGGCGAGCCAGGAGAGGTCTGCTGTGCCATGTGGGTAGCTCCCTGGCCGGGAAGCGAACTCTTGCTACAGTGGCTGCAGACATCTCATAGGTTGCGTCTTAACCCCAAAATCTAAATTGTTGTTATATTGAGCAGCTCTCTCCCCTACTCACCTGTAAAGTTTGCTTTAGTGCCAGTTCTCTTTCTCTTCTAAAGTAAGAAATGTCCTTTGGTATTCGAACAGAGCTGCAGAAAGTTGCATGCAATAGAAGTTGTCATTACAGAAGTTATAATAAACTTGATTATAAATAGGCCCTGCTTCATTTGTAATCCTTCAAATCTGTTCATTTCTAAATAACCATGTATCACATTATACTGGCTTGTTGGGGACGTGACAAGGCCACAGGCTCCTGTTTTCAGAGGGCTCTTATGTATTCTTTGTTTTTGCTAAATCTTTCTCTGGGCCACTTTTTCCTCTCTTCCCCACATTGACACAGTCTTTCCTTTTACCCAAAATTCCCCTCTCTCTTCCAACTCCAGAGTACAGGAAAGGGCATAATGGTGAGAATTTTTATTTTCCCCACCTGTATTTCCGTAGCCTTATTGCTAACAAGTACTGTGCTTATCAGACATCGATCTCAAGCTAATTGACACTCTTATCTTATCGTTTAAATAAAATCTTATCATTTAAATAAAATGTTTTTATTTTTGTTTTTGCTCAAATATCGAGGGTGAAAGTGACTTTTAAATGTCAGAAATGTAATAGTTTGGAAAAATATTTTAACCAGTTTATGCTTCAGAAAACTTATTAATCCCTAGGAAAAACAGCGGAGGAGCCTGCTTAAGCCTCCTGGACCTGTGATGAGGGAGCCGTTTGCGCCTTAGGCTCTGACACAGGAGGCACCAGCAATACCCCAGACCCTGGGTCTGGTAAAAAGGTGGGCCCCACAGTCGGGAGGAGGAGAACTCCTCATTTGGTGTCAGCTCTACACCTAAACTTTGAGAGCATCAAGAGACAGCAACCCTGGTGTAGTGGCCACTTCTCAAGATGGAACTTTGCAAACATCGCAAGGTCATTCTGGAACACATGAAGGAAGCCACCTAACGATCTGAGGAGGATTACAGGCAGTAACATTTAGGTTAATGTTCAGATGAGCCTATCAGCCCCCATGGATAAGTCTCAAGGGATGATGAAAATACTATTAGTTTTGCACCCTCGACAGCAGTCCCTCCACCCCAAACCCCTGGAGGCAGTGGTCCTGGAAAAAGGGCAATAGGCTGATAGGCAGGAGGGGCCTCAGCCTTGTGAGCCTAGCAACCCACTGAGCCATCTGTGCGGAATTCCCATCTGCGGTTGGAGATAATGCCGTCTTATCTCCTCGCACTGTTGCTTTGTTGAAAAAGAATTATTTTTTTAAATAAGGCAGGCTCTGAAAGTGCCTTGAGAGTAAAAACATTGATAAAGCAAATGTATACTTTCTGTGATTACTGGGTACCCGAATCCTGATTAGCCTCATGGAGGAAAAGAAACAGGAACCAACTCAAAATGGGATGAGCTATTAAACAGGCAGTCGGGGAAAGAAGAAACCCACTTCTTTACTGTCCTGTTATCTGGGGAGATTGGGCAGGGCCAAGGCTTACTCTCCCAACCCTCTCTTACTCAGATCATGTCTTTCCTCTCAGTTCACCTCCAAGTGTCTCTGAAGGCTCTTAAAGAAACTGGTGAACAGCAAAGTTGTGCACATCAACCCATTAAAGAGACCATGTTTGTTCAGAAATAGACATTGTTTATTTAACAAACATTCACTCCTTTTTTTCATTCAACAAGCAGTAATGAAAAACTTAACCCTCTCAAAGACCTGGGCTTATGAGGTAAAATGAGGGGGGAAATATAAAACAAACAAACAAAAAAGTAAAACCAGACAAGCACACAGTCATCCTTTACTTCTCAATATTTATTTTGGTTTAGTGGTGAAAGACAATGCTAAATTGATGATCAGGAGCAGACATTTTCCATTTTTCTTTGTCTCCAGAACCTACTACAACACCTGGCAAAAGTATTTATTGGAGTAATTAGATCTTCCAGGTGTATTGTTTGGTGGTTTTAGGGATTAGAGAAATACAGGTATCCAGAGATTTCCCATCACTGTGGCCTAAAAAGCCTTCAAGAAGCCTTTCTTATAGCAATGTACCTCAGGGAGCTGGGGAGCTGCTTGCTCTGACTTTAATTGTAACAATATTAACATTTGATCTGTGTGTGGTGTGTAAGTTTTCAACATGCTGTAATACAGTCAGTAGTCATAAGGCTGGCAAGGTACTCATTTTTAATCTTGTTTTTCAAACAAAGAAACCAAAGTTGAGAGAAATTATGACATGCATGGTTCAATTTCCTTTCTATTTCATCATGAAATCTGCTTTGTATACTCAAGTGCTTTAAATATCAAACTTACAAAACATATTAAATGCTAATGCACCTATTGACTGCTGCTGCTTCTCCTGATCTTCCCTCCCCAGTCCACTGAGTTTACTCTGCTATTCAATATAACAGGGTCCTCAAATAATTCCTCTTGGTCTTTTGTGGCAGTAACAGAACAAAGGGGTATGCAAGGGATATTTGCTATTGATACTAAGGGGCTGATCTGGCTACACCATCCAAAAGAACTAACTATAGAAGAGCTCCTTAACAGAACACTTCACATTACCAAATTCCTAGCCTTATTTGTTGTGAAATTCCTCATCAAAATTCAAGGTCAAATTCAACTAAAATATTATTGAGTAAAAATATCTCTTTTCATTGAGTATTACTTGTATAATAGCTTCTGCAACTTGAAGACAAATGTAAGCGCACTTTTCCTTTTTATTTGGTAGAATATTGCCTCTAAGTGCCTTGACAATTCTGGAATATAGGAGGACCTGAGGAGCAGCGGCCAAATTTGAGCTTGAGCTAATGCCAGTTGTCCTTGTGATGCCCTGATGGAGATAGTGTAGTGAGAGTGGGCATGAAAGTCTGGGAAGACTGCCTGCACACTGCCACTATTTACCAGTAAGGTCCACGAGCTGTTCCCTGAAGAATCCCCTGTTCTTCTATTTCAGACTTCAGTTCAGTCAATTGCAGAGCCAGTTCTTTCTCCAACAGTTGGATCCTTTCTGTGGATGCAACCTTGTAAATTTCATCCATGGTTTGCAATTATTGTTTTTCTGTAACCCTGAAAAGAAAGAGCACAAAGTTCATGGCTGACTTCCTCAGTGACCATTACCTAGTGTGTGGGATTTTGTCCAAAAACTCATGTTAACTTTGTGGAACTGGAACAATGTGAGGAAACAGCCACACTAGATAGTGGTTGTTTATGATTTAATTACCATTTAGTGAACAGTAGAGAAAACACAGGTTAGAATCTCCTCTGACTACGTCTTTGTTCAGCCCAGACATCTTCAGAAAGTTTTCTCCTCCAGCTTTGTCTGTAGTGGTGTTTTTTCTTTCTTTCTTTCTTTTAAATGAGAGTACATCCTCCTTCCTGTCCTCTGTAGTCTTCATAAAGACATGTGGGCATTACTCACGAAATTCTCTGAATGGTGGTTATTATTGACTTGTAATTTTCACTTCAACTGGAACAAATTATACGTGTGTACAGGATTCCTCTACACAACTGGAGTATTTTGCCATAAGCCTTTTTGAAGGCATGAGCATTTAACTGGGTAGAATATTCTGAGGGTGGAGTACTATCTAATGTAATTTTGACCCATTTTGGAGAAAAACGCTATTTATGAATTGGAATGGGTGTTTTAAAGTTTGAATGTTTATATTTGGCATAATGTCGTCACCATTAAATAAAATAGTTGATCACACCCACCTCCACCCAGGTTACAGCCTGTCAAATTCAACACAACTATTTGCTGAGCACTTGCTGTCAGTATTCTAGTTAACAGCATAGATTAACTGCATGACCCAGAAGTTCTGAACCCATGAATTACCAGGGATTCCCTCCCTGATGTGTTGTTCCCTACTGCTGCCCTAGAAACAGAGCAAACCAGAGAGAACCGGGCTGACCCTGTCAATGGGTCCTCACCCACGTGTTTATAATTGTAGGACACGACCCAGAAGCAGACACACACACCTTGTGAAACAACAAGGGGATTTATTTACACGGGGGGGGGGGGGGAGAGCGGAGAGAGAGAATTCAGAGGCTGGCACATGGCTATGGGCCATCTGTACTTCCCCAGATAGCATCCGTTCAGTGGGGTCCTAACCCAATCCAGGGCAAGCCGTGGGCTTTTCCACGAGCACTCCCCCTCAATAGCAGGAGGAAGCCAGAAGCCTCAGCTCCGCCCTATTACCCATCAGCCCCACCTCAGGGGGCAGAGTCTAGAACACCCCACCTTCTACCATCCAGTTGGCTATGCTTGCACCCACTGGCTGGGAATTTGGTTCTCACTGTTCTTGTTTACACCCTCACCTCTACCAGACAGGTAGAAATAAAGTCACTCCTAGGTCATATTTAGAGAGCTTTAAAATATATAAGGCTTCCTTTTTTTTAATGTTTCTAGATTTTCATTCTGCCTTTCAGAGATAGTTCATTTTCTCAAGTTCATCTGTTATTGTTCCAACAAACAAACTGTGGAAATATTCCGTGTAGAGAGTACACGGAATACTTCGGGTACCTACTATTTCTTTTTATAAAAACTGAAAATGGAAATGAGCGTCCATGTTCAGTGTAGGCTATGAACCTGTGGAGTAATAAATCTGCCATGTTTGGCATATTGCTGGAGCTCTGTAAAATGCACTGTTGTTCTCAGCAAAAGTAAAATGTTGTTATGAAAAATATTTGCCACTTGGCAGTGTCTTTTCAAGCTGGGCAAACAGTGAAACAGCTGCCTTAACAGCTGCATTCCAACAGTCAGCCAAGAGTGGCAGCAAAACAGACGGAATGATTCTTCTCCCAAAGGATGGACATTCTGCCTTCATTTCCTGATCCATTTCAACACTTCACAGCTCAGAAATAAGAACATTTAATCCTATGCCGTTTAGCCTGCTGCACAATCGAGAACAGTATACACAGGAACGTGAAGAGCGGTCAGCCACTGACAACTGTCCCTGAAATGGATCCAAGGTAGAGAAATCCCTGCTGGCTGAGCGCTCATGTCCAGCATTCAAAGATGAACAACTGTTATTTTGGAAGGTGGATAGGGTGGTTTCCATTTATTGAGGACCTGTTGTGTGTCAGGCAGCACTAAGACTCATTTTAAGTCTCAGAAAAGACATTCTCAAGAATTGATTCAATGGTATTCTTAAAAAATAAGTACCTGTAATGAACTGTGAATTGCAAACAAATAAAAAAAACTTTTATAGAATTTAAAAAAAATGATAAAATATAAGCACTAAGACAAAGAATTTCATCGGGGTTTGAGGGTGGTTAAAGCAGGTATGATTAGAACAGAAATAGTGAGTGACTTTAGACTCTGCTAGGAAAATGTAAAAGAAAAGACATGTAACCTAGAACTCACCAAATAAGTGGAAGTGAGGGAAAGGAAGGGATCTTTAAAATCTAATAGAAGGCAGGAAAAGACGGAGGGGGGAGGGAATGGAAACAAAAAGAAATTTGGTAAAAGTCACTTATCGGTGATTAAAGTAAATATAAATGGATTAAGTCCATCTATCAAAACACATAAATCAGCACAGCTTCAAGCACTTTAAAAACATATAAAATTTGATAACATGATGCATAAGACCAAACTGTTTTTTTTTTTATTTTTTTTTTAATAGAGGCATGTTTTATTTATTTATTTGTTTGTTTGTTTATACAAGCACTGGGTACAGTCAGAAGCGCGGGAGGGTGAGAGAATTCACCGAGCCAGAGCGGGGAGCAGAACAGACAGAAGGACCGAAGTACACTGCTGAGGGGAGCAGCGGGCGGCAGGAGAGGTCTGCACGCCATGTGGGACCCTCCTCTGGTGGCCGGGGAGCAGCCGGGGATCGAACCCGGCGCCGCAGAGGCCGCGGGCAGCTTCGCAACCCAGCGCTCAACCGCTGCGCCACCAGGGAAGCCCAAGACCAAACTGTTTTAACAAAAACTTAGCGCCTGTCTGTATAAGTCTGATGTGAATGGTCCAGGAGTAGAGATTCTTAACTCCTCCTGGGCATTTAAGGACTTGGCTTCCTTCCAAGTCATCTCCCCCATGGGCTACGCAATGTTCAAACACTTCAGTGAGGCTATAGAACATGACCTGGGGGAACGGACACAACAGAAAAACATGTCTGCATTTTCATCTTGGTTATAGTCCCCATACAATTTCCACCCCCCTTGTTTTTATACTACTCCCTTCTTTCCCCCACCCCCTTGTATGTCTCTGGTTTATAGTTGCTTGTTGATTTTGATTTTCACTTTATTATAATTAGTCTTTTTCCTGGTCCGTTATTTAGGTTTTCTAAATTCCTGCTATGAGTGAGACCATTGTGCAAAAATGAAAAATGATGTAAAAATATATAAAAATAAAATAAAAATAAAAAATAAAAATAAAAAATAAAAAATAGCAGGTGGGGAAAAAAAAGAAAAACATATGATTACGTGAATAACCTGTTTCTACTGTACTGAAAGTCTGGGTTTGCTTGTTTTCTAGTGGGTATTCAATTTGTGTTAAATGCTTTTTCTACATCTATTGAGTTAAGCATGTGATTTTCCTCATTTATCTTATAATTTGTATTTCACAGTTTTTTAATTATTAAGCCAAAATTTCTTTCTTGAAATAAATCTCATGTGGTCAAGATTAATTATCTTATTTTAAAGAAAAGTAGACTCAATTTGCTACTATGTTGTTTAGGATTTTTGCATGTATGTTCTTAAAAGAAACTGGGCTAACATTTTCTTATAACAGTCTTGTCAGATTTTTGTGTCAGGATTATGCTACCCAGGGCCTCCCTTGGTGGCGCAGCGGTTGAGCGCTGGGCTGCGAAGCTGCCCGCAGCCTCTGCAGTGCCGGTTCGATCCCCAGCTGCCAGGCGAGGGTCCCACATGGCGCGCAGACCTCTCCTGCCGCGCCCACTCCCCTCAGCAGTGTATTTCATCAGTCTGCCTGTTCTGTTCCCCGCTCTGGCTCTGGTGAATTCTCTCACCCTCCCGCGTTTCTGACTGTACCCAGTGCTTGTATAAATAAATAAATAAATCTTAAAAAAAAAAAAAAAACACTCCTTTTAAAAAAAAAGATTATGCTACCCTCATAAAAAACCCAAAGTGTTCCTTTTTCTTCTATTTTCTAAAAACACTTAAGATAGGTAGGTATTACATCTTCCTTAAATGTTTGGAATAATTCACCTATGAAACATTTCAGCCTGAAATTTTCTTTATGGGAAGATTTTTAAAAGAATATTTGCTTCCCCCCACCCCCTCAGGTGTAGTCCCCATAGAGTTTCCTTCACCAATGCACCTGGTGCACCATCACCTCAGTCCCCTGTGCTCCTCCCTCCCTCCCTCTGATCCCTCTCCCTCCTCCTCCCCTGTAGTATGTCTCTGATTTATAATTGTCCGTTTTTGCTTTGTTGTGTATTGTACTGTTGTTATTTTTTTTACACTGATGTCTTATTTGTTTTCCCCCCCATATTCCTGCTATAAGTGAAACCATCAGATATTTTTCTTTTTCCTTCTGGCTTATTTCACTGAGCATAATTCCTTCTAGCTCCATCCATGTTGCTGCAAATGGCATAAGTTTATCTTTTTGATTGCTCAATAGTATTCCATTGTGTGTATATGTCACATCTTCTTGATCCAGTCATCTATTTTTGGGCATTTGGCTTGTTTCCGGGTTTTACCTATTGTAAATAGTGCTGCAATAAACATAGGGGTGCAGGTGTTCATTTGAATCAATGTTTTTGTGTCCTTTGGGTAGCTCTTTATGGTAAGATTTTTAATTGCAGGTTAATTTCCTCAACAGATTATGATTACTCATATCTCTTTTGTGTGTTCGTTTTAATGAATTTTTAAAAAATTTCATCTAAGACAATTTTTTTGGTATAAGGTCACTCATAATATTCTTTTACATTTTTAACCACTTTGTTGATATGTAATTAACACACCCTACAATTAACCCACACTAATTTAAAAAATCATTAAAAGTGGACAATTCAGCGATTTTTAGTGTACTCACAGAGTTGTGTAATCATTGTCACAATCTATTTTAGAATATTTT